AGCCCAAACTGTTTGTCCGCGTCTAAAGCAACTGAAGTGAGTTCGAGGGACTGCCGGTCCTTTGAGCTCTGGGTCAAAAGCAACCTGGGATTTGCGCGTTTTTGGGGCGAGAAATGGCACGAAACCGACCAAAATCCCGCCGAAACCGAGGTTCAGTCCCAAACCCCGGGCTTGGGAATGCAGCTGTCGCACCAGCGAGACATCTCTTCCCCCTATTAATGAACGACCCCAATCAATAAAAAATGGAAATCCGGGGCCCGTATTTATGATAGGGAGGAGATTAACAAGGCTTCGACCCATTTGCCGCCCCAAGGCTCCAATGAAAAAACCTGAAACCTATGGGAGCTCAGGACCTCGAGGGAGATGTAAAAAAAAAAAGTCTGGCTGACTCTGAGGAGTCCAACTTGTGCAGGTGGCTGACTCGAATGTATCCTTCTGCCGGAAATTTGTTCAAACATAGATTCCGAAATGGGATGGTGTCGTGTCGAACTTGCAGGACTGTCACCTACTTCATCGCAGTCAGAAACTGGATCAACTTCGGGACCCTCACCTTGGATGGAAGCCCATGATCTCTGATCGCATCCGGTTTTCCGCGGCTGGGTGCTTTTCTTTTGGTGTCCCTTGAAACCGACTCAAAAAAGAGAAAAAAACGAGCCAGCCACTTGGGGAATCAAAGCCCAGCTCCAGTTGGCTGGGAGTGTGCAAACCTTCTGCCACTTCAAGGGGCATGTGGTTCCAAAGCAAAACACCCCAAAGACAACTCAGCTCAAGAGGGTCTAGGGTTGAACCCCACAACAAATGTTCCTTGGCACCCCATGTGAAAAAAAAAAATCATTGAATTTGTTGTTTATTCTGTGGATGGACCAAATCCGCTTGCACCACCTAAGAACCCCTGGTTTCTCATCCCAATACCACTGGTTTCAAGCATTTCAGTTCTTGCAATTGGATGTCAATCCACACGGCCAGGGCTTTCCGGAGCTCTTCCGCGCCTCCGCATGGGAAAATCCAAAAGAACTCGAGGATTCCACGCTGCGGAGGCGGACACCGGAAGCAGAATCCGAGATACAAATACCCGCCGAACTTTGTTTGTTCTGTTCTTTGTTTTCTTTTCTTTTTATTTTTCCCGTTTTTTGTGTGATTTGTTTTTTTTTTTGGGGGGGGGGGTTGGGGAACCCACCTTCATTTTCTGCTTGATTTTTGTTGTTGAGTGGGGGGGGATCATGTCAAGCCTCTACTAGAAAAGGAGACTATGGAAAAAACAGGGTTTTCAACACAAGACTCCCCCCCGAAAAAGGATGGTCTTTGGAGTAGGGGGTATATTTTCTGGTCTTTGCAGTTGTGGAGCATTTTGCTATTGAAAAATCCTGGGTAACTTTGAAAACACTTTCAGTCGTGACCAATAGGGGTAAACTAATAACATTAGCTAGACCCTTACATAACCGAGAATTCCCGCCCCCCGCCCCCAGAATGAAGCCCCATCACAACCCCAGCACAACTTCCTCCAAACACCTGAGGCTGGATAGACATGGATTGCCAGATTGCAACCTCATATCGTCTGACCAGAAGGAGACTCATTTTGGATTCGTTTTTCCCAAAACGGTGACAAAGAAACCAATACTCAAAGGTGAAAAGGACGGCTAACAATCAAACGGCTCAAAGACCTCCTCCCTGCGAGACATAACTGGCAGATTGAGAACTGGATTTGATCATGGTATCTTGACAAGTCCTTTTGCTGGGTGTGGACCCATCCCCAACAAAAGGGGGGTGTCTTTTTCGAGGGTCTCCCGTTCAACCGAAAGCAATCCCACCGATGTGTTTGCTCCGAATCCCGATACACCCATAAAGATACACCCAAGATGCGTTGTTTTTTTTGTGCCGGCACATTAGATATTAAACAGGTCTGGTTACAAAAAATCATTCTCGTGACTTCCCGGAGCCGATGCCTCAGCGGGTTCGAGCTTGGAGGTTCCCCAAGTTGCCATCGGTGCCAAAAGCAGAAATGAACGCGTTTGCATCAGGAAGGACGCATTGGAGAGGTCAAAACGGGCGGGCCAATGCTTCGTAGACTCATTGGAGGAACCGTGGATGCCCCAGATATTACAAGCAAACCAACCACAAACCAGGTGAATTGATCGCGTTTCCAACTTGTTCCCTACGTGCAGTATGGCAGGGGAATCTACGGTCCTTGCAAGCCCCCTGTCCGCTTCCATGACTGGAGGGAGGGTTCTTAGTTTGGCAAACACCCAGGACGATCATTCGCCAATCCAAGAGACCCTTATCAAACGAACCGTGGGCCCGGTTCATCCGTCGCAAACCAAACCCCTTTGCGTCGCGAAAAATAAATCGACGCGGACATGTTGAGTACTTCTGTCTCACAATGACTTAGGGTCGGTTTCCAAAATGGTTTCGCCCATATATCATTCCCGGTTTGGTTGCCTTAGGTCCCAAAAGAAGAACCTCAAAGGGCCGGATCGAGCCCAGGATCCGACCCATGACGTTGGCTTGGACCAACAAAGCAGCCCAAACTGAGCACGTTGAAGGAGGCCGGAGCGACCCAAGCCCCTTGTCAGGGACAAAAAGAGGTACGCGGTAACCGTATTTAGCCTATGGACCCTCAACCTACCCATAAACAAGGGCATTCACCAACCAGAATTTTGGGGCCATAACCCATTTTTGTGGGTATTTTGAGGCTTCAGGTACCTTAAAATATACTATGTCCTTGGTGCTTGGGTCGCCCATGTCCACTGGTGGGTTGGCTGATACCCTAAGAATATGGGGACCTCCACATGGGCCAAGCAAGGCCCTGCACGCACTTTTCACCCCGACTCGCTCAGCTTCAGCCGCGCCCTGCCGCCCTGCGCTGGTCCCTCTGAGGCCCGATTGTATGGATCCGTATGGCTGTCCTCAGATCTCCCGCTGAAAGTGAATAACTTTTAGTGGGTAAAGTTGAAATCCCCAAGCTAAAAAGCTAAGGGGATGGCTGGGAGGAACCAAGTCTATTCCGGTTTGCCCAACAAAGGGCTTGCGTCAGTTGTAACAAAAACGGGCTCCATGCAACGGACTTTGATAGTACTGCACGGATCTCTCGGTGCCGTGATCCAGTGACCCAAACGCCGAAGCAAGCGATCAGTTTTCTTCCCGGGAGAGAAAAAAAGAAGAAGAAGAAACCCGAGGGACTCGCTTTAGCTCAGACAAGTCCTACCATAGCCCACGCCTGTAGGAAAAACCCACAAAAGCGACCAGCGATCCAAGAACCGTCAGCTTGGGCCCCTTTGCAAGATCGCTTTCATTTGCCCACAACCTTCATGGATGACGTGCAAAAAAACAAAACCAATAGGTGAGGTGGTTACAAGTTGGCCAGACTCGATCACGGCACCTTTGCTTTGCTGTCTTGCAAATCACACAGGTAGCCTTTCGCCCGATTTCCAGTTTGAGGAAATAAAGGGACCCCACTCCAAGCGTGTTTCTGACGCTTTTGGTCCCTTTGCTTTCCGCAAACAGCGTCCAAAAGGCAAATCCTGGCGCAGTTCCTGAATATCCCCCTTCGCCCGCCTGAAATCGATTCCGGGCGGGGGGACATTGGTGACGCCGGGGGTTGCAGCGGGGCTTGGGCTGAATAGAGTTCCCGGTTGGCACTTCGGGCACCGGCGTCCCAAGCCAGAGGTTGACACGGCCGGCACCGAAACATCCGGGCAAATTGGAATTCACGAACTTCCTTCTTTTGCCTCCTTGCCTGCCAAGTAGTGTCTGATGGCCTCGTTTGCATAATGATTCACCAACCAAAACTAAGGGTAAAGGACCTCCAAAGGAATCTTTCGCTTTGGGTGACGTTTCAACGTCCGCGCACGAAAGCTCGTAAACAAACCTGACAGGGAAGCTTTTGAAAGTAGAAAGACCGGTCCAAAACATGGTCTGATTCCCCATTAAACCCAGGGACACCCCCTATTTATAAACTGGGGTTGATTAATATGGGGTCAACACACAAGGCAGGAAACTGGGCCAAACAGATCAATCCGCCCCCCGATCAACTGTTGAGCTGAGAATGGAACCAAAAAGGCAACGGGGACTAAAACACGACGAAACAATATGTAGGTTTTTGCAATGGAAAACGAGCGAGCCTTGTGATGCCAAGGTTCCTCAAGCATCACTTGAAAGGGGGGTCCCCGATCCGTACCAACGCCACCGAAAACCAACCCTTTTTGTGGCTGCGTGTTTCTTTGATCGGTACCATTTGGGTTGGTTGGAGAGGAAAATAAAGGGACCCGCCTCATTTTGGAGAGAATCCAAGTTCCCCAAAGCAAAAGGTACTGAAGCTACGCTCCAGAATCCTGGTGCAAAGAAGGGGGTCTGGAAAACTAGACACATATGCCCTGGCTGCCTGTGCAAACAGATTCACCTTCTGCCGATTGGTGACAAAGAGCAAAAACACATTTGCGCCTGTATAAAGCCAAAAGATGCTAAAAGCTAAAGAGCGTGGCACTTGTCAAACCGGCAAAGGAGCGGATCAATGGGTTTCGGTGAACCGAGTCAAGAGGAAAACCCCAAAAACCAAAGAGATGTTCGAAGTTTCCGCGTCCGACACTTCAAACATGGGGTCACCCCATGGCCAATGGGCTGACCCCACTTTTCAAGGATCATGGAGACTGGTGCACACGCACATGCATCCCTTTGCGGCTTCCCTCAACGGAAATCGATCTGCCTACATTTAGCACGCTGAAAGGACTGCCAGTGCCGGTGGGATCCCTCCCTGTTCGCTTCGCGGATTGCCTTAGCCCGAATTTGCGCTTCGAAGCTCGACTTTGACCGCTGGTTCGATAGGTCCTCTGTTTGCTTTTGTTCCGTGGGGCAAATTCGTAGGTTTAAGTGTAGGAGACCCAAACTTGCCGAAGAAGCGAAAAACAACTAGAATGGTCCTGAAAAAAGTGACTGAAGTTCATGAAGTCAGAAAGCGAGCACCTGAAATGGCCTAAAACCAGCCAGTCGGGTCCGGATCTATCCGCTCAGCGCCGGTAGTTGGCGGCGAAGCGGCTGCTCAACGCCCCGGTCTCGCCTCCGTTCGCCGTCCGACGCAAGACGCCGGGACCCGGTTAAAACCAGTGACCCCTTCGATAGAAGAAAGGCAGTGGAACCATCGTCTTTTTCGTGCTGATCTCATTTTTCGTGGGAACACACCAAACAAAACGGGCCAAACACGGGTGGGGACTAACCAGAGAGCACCAAACCCCTTTCAGGCACCAATTGAGTCTTGGGCACAAAGAGAGAGAGAGAGAGAGAGAGAGAGAGAAAAATAAAAAGAAATTGGATTTAAACAGCTCCTGTTGGGGAAGCCCCGAAAAATTGGGAAACGTCTCGGCCGACCGCTTGCCTGAGGAGCGCCGGCCCCGCAGGTGCTGCATCGCCGGATGCGGCTTCGGCACCTGGATCGAGGCCGGGGATCGAGAGCAAAAAGGAGGGGAGGGGGGGTTTAGGTGGATTTCACGGATTTGTTTCTTTCTTTCTTAATGATCTTTGCACAAACGCGAGTGTCCTTCTCCCTTTTTTCGTGGATCCTTTCAGACTCTTTTCATATCCTTCAGGGGTGGATCCACAAAAAACAACATCCAACCTTCCCCCTGCTGGGAATTGTTGATGCTTTGGTCTAATATCCTACAGGGGTGGAAATCTTCTAGAAGGGCGTGTCAAGCAAGATTTGGCCGTAGGGTTCCGAAAGCCCCCCATAAAGAATGGCCCACTTGAGATTGCAACCCTGATCGGAAAACAATGGTACTTGGGGTTCCTAAAATTCCTGGGCCTTGAAACTACAACCCATGTTCCATACCGCGACCCGGTTAGGGGTGTGAATTCTTCTGGGACCCCGATATGGTGGGCATCGTGCCGGGGATGTATGTCCTCTTTTGAGGGGCTTCGTTTCCGACCTTTGGCATGGGCTTGCACAAGAAAAATCGGCAGCCCCCTACTAAACTGAACAGAACCCAGAAACCAATGGAAAAAAACCTAAAAACAGTTATTACAAAAAAAACTCAGGCGGTATCCCCAGCAGCTAGGCGCTGAAGGTCTAGGAGTTGTCTGCTCGTTGCGTCTCAGACTTCAGTTCTTCACCTGAAACCCGGAACCTCCAAAACCTTGCTTGAACCGTACACCTGGCCTGCGCAGACCATCTCCAGAACCCTTGCTTGAACCTTACACCTGCCTGCGCCAGACCACCCCATGTCTGGAACCTTGCTTGAACCTTTGTGGCCTGCACCAGACCACCCCGAAACCTCTGGAGCCTTCCTTGAACCCCACAACCCGCAGACCACCTCGGAACCTCCACCCGGAACCTACGGGGGCTTCCTTGAACCTTACACCTGGCCTGCACCAGACCAGCTCCTGGCCTGCGCCACCACCCCACTTTGCTTGGGCCTTACGCGCCACACCCCGGAAGCTCCGGAAGCTTCCTACACCTGCCTGCGCCAAACCACCTCACACCTCTGCAACCTTGCTTGAAAGTTTCGCATGGCCTGCACCAGGCCACCCGGAACCTCCGGACCTTACACCTGCCTGCGCCAAGCCACCCGAACCTGCGGAACCTTCCCTGAATCCTTGAACCTTACACCTCCCTGCGCCAGACCACCCAGACCACCCCAAAACCTCCACAGCCTTCCTTCAAACTTACACTTCGCCTGCGCCACACCACCCGGAACCTCCGGAACCATCTGGCCTGCACCGCACCACCTCGGATACACCTGGCCTGCGCCAGACCACCCAAAACCTTCGGAACCTTCCTTGAACCTTAAATCTGGCCTGCGCCAAACCACCCTGGAACCTCCGGAGCCTTCATTGAACCTTGCGCCTGGCGCCTGCACCAGACCACCCGGAACCTCCAGAACCTTCCTTGAACCTTACGCCTGGCCTGCACCAGACCACCTCGGAACCTCCGCAACCTTCCTTGAACCTTACACCTGGCCTGCACCAAACCCCGAACCTCCAGAACCTTCCTTGAACCTGACTCCAGCCGAGCCACCCCAAACTTTATCTGGGCTGAGACCCCTTAGCTTTCAGCTGTTGGGGAATAAAACAAAGGCTCTTTCCGAAACATAAACTAATTGTTTTTCTCAATCTAAACTAAACTTCAAAAACAGTGTTTTTCGAGGAAGCTGCCACCGACAGTGAAGGGTACCTTGGGACCCAATGTAAATGATCGCCCTGAATAGTAAACAATGCCGGTGAAATCCTTTGGACCCCCCAAGGTTGGGGTGCAAGAAGCAAAGGTGTCCCTTTGGTTGAGAAAATCGCTGGGTTTCCCTGGTAGATGTTGTGAAAGGTTCTGAAACAAGCAGGAATTGCAACAATTTGTTCCACCAACAAAAGACCCCCCTCGGTTCAAGGCGCAGGGCAAATCTGTCTTCGACCTCGAAGAGCGAGGGCACCCCTACCCGATGGGTTTACCGCTCACGTGCTTTGTTGCACCAGAAACTGCATCCCGGGTGAGCAACCCCTGCAGCCAACCAGCGCAGCTGGTCATGACGAAGCCCTAGAATAAGGCCCTACTCGGCGGGTCCAACCCCCAAAAAGAAAACAAAACTGATTGCCGCCTTCCAAAACAGGACATGAAATGACAACAACAGTATAGTGAAACGCAATCAAATATCATACAGGTCGATAACTCCCTGGAAATGCCATATGCTGACTCACTGTAAAGGCTTTATGATTTGGATTCCACACATGCACACGGGGGAACCCCAACCAGGATGGTTTATGTTTGCTTCCCGGTTCAACCGACCCCCCCAAAGAAACCGGATGCGTGGACGACTCAAAGAGATGGACGCCCGGCCGACAGAATTAGATCAACCTGAACCCCCAAAATTCCCTTAAAAATGGGTTTGACCCCCAAAATTATGGGGTGATATCCCATTTTTATGGGTAGTTTGAGGGTCCAGGAACCCAAATTCCAAATGCCTGGGTTGCTCTAAGGCCTCCTGAGCAAAAGGTCGATTTTTGTTTACCTTTTCTAGGCGAACAGGGGAAAGCAAGTTGTGGGCAGTCCCCCACCGTGTGGCATGGTCAAACCCTGTGTGGGCCATGGTCATTTTCGCAAATGGCACCCTTAGAAGGGTTGTGTAAAATGACGACAAAGAGGTTGACAACCATACCAGCCCCAACAAAATGCGTACTCCGCTTCCCAGGTGGATTCCGGTCAGGAGGTTCCCGTTGACTCACGGGTTCCAATCCAAACCAACCGAAACCACGAAAGGGGCTCCCAGCCGGGTCACCACTGCTTTTTGGGCCTCGGAAAATCAGTTGTTGGGGGGGTCTGTTCCCCCTTTTTCTTGCTTATTTGTCTTTCTTTGTGGGTTGAGGGGGGAGAAGTCTTGCATTTCGAGTGGAGCCTTGTCCAGCTGGGCGACAATGGTGATCTTCTTCATCATGCGCTTGTCCTGGAGAGTTTCCAGGCCACCACCTACAACCCTGGCCCTGGTGGACGGCATGGAATCAGCGTGCCCCTTCTGACCATGGCGAACATGCCTCGTGCCCAAAGGACCTGGAAAAGGAGGCAGAGCAAGGAGTTTTGTTTGACATTCTGTGTCATGCCGCCTTGGTGAACGATTGAGCCAGGATTATTGATGTCCTTGTTTCTTTTTCCGTGCTCCTGTCCTGAAGGTTTGCTAAAACATGTTGAGCGCGCAAACCCCGCACAGAGTAGCAATGGCATTGCCTCGACAGCTACATAGCCCTGTAACAATTGCATCTTCGTGCCTTGGATGGGGTGCGAAGAAGATTTGCCCAGGAAAGTAGCATTTGTTTCGACAAGTCAGCCATGGCAGTCTTTTCACCAAGTCTCCTTACACAAAGCCAATTGTGTCGATCCTGGCAGGAACTCAGGTCGCGTTTGGCCGCTCAAGCTGGCGTTTCTGAAGCTAAGTCCGGAAAGCTCAACGCAGCTCTGAGGAAGTTCTACTTTGTCTTCTTAGACAAGCCCGCGCCTGTGCAACCTGTACAAGAAGCTCGGTCAAAACAGAACCGACCCGAATTGAGTCTCCAAACATGCTTAGTACTACTTGCTTTATGTAAGTGACTGCCCGTGAGCAAAGATCGAGATCCTTTTTCGAGATTATGTTATGGTGTTACTTTGCAAAGTGTCGAACTTTACCTGAACCACCATCGAAACCCGGGTAAATGAAGATTAGTAAGGGATAGTCCCAACAACAAATGGTTGCGGCCGTCTTGTTAATTCTTTGCTTGGTTCTGGGTAGACCATTTTAGTACCAGGTATTGATTATGACTCACCTTGTTTGTATAACTTCAGTTCGCCCCTTCCGCGCAAAGAGTCGAGTCGCAGGCCATGGAAACACGGTGTGGATACCGACACCTTCGTATCCAAACATCACGTCACTGGGTGTGTCGCACAAAAAATTCGGGCAACCCGTGGGCGGGTTTCCCGAAAATTAGTTTCCCTCTACACATACCACAGGAAGAAGGGCGCCCTCAACAAAACACACACACACACCAAAAAAACACCAGGAGTGACCACAGCCAACTGACCTGATTAGGTTGGATTAAGCTTCAAAACCCATCCAGCACCAAAAAAAACATGGGACTTCTCGACCCCGGCCCAAAGAGTACGCAGAAAATAAATGTGTTTCTGCTTGTGGTTCACAACCTACCCCCAAAATATGAAAAATGGTTTGGAATTGAACTCCTGTGTAAATGGGAAACCCTAACCTCACCGGGCGAAACACCGATTGGAGGGAAGCTGAACAGCGGGGGTACACAGAAAATAACATGTCTTCTGATTCAGTCAACCATATTTAGTCAACCCCAAAATATTCAATCTAAGACAGTTTTGAAGGTTTAGGAATCGGTCCCCGCAGAATTGAGAAGTTGTCCCTTTGGTTTCCCTTCAAACCCACCCAAAAACAGGTACCCTCGAAAGGATGCACCAAGATTCCTGGTTGAGGGTTGCCAGTCGAATCAATCGGAAGTAGAGATTCGGCCCCAAATAAGCAAAATGAAGACCGTTGGCCGAATTTCCACTCTTGTGCTTGGGCGGGAATCAAAATGAGAGTGTTGGTTGTGATAGGGAAACAGCACACCACCACACCACCAACGGCAATTTTTCGCATGCAACCAAAATCCCAAGTCCTAAAAGCAGTGCTTGGGGGGGTGCCCCCAACTTGTGGTTGGGTCGCCTGTCTTGGCGCACGTTGGCGTGCTGGGTCCCATGGGAAGAGCCTTCCGGAGGCCAGCATTTCTGATCGCGTGCCGAAAGGATGCGAGGGATTCCCAAAACTTTCCGAATTGTTGGAACTCGAATGGCAGTGTTCCCAATCCTCTGGCGGGCAGTGCTGCGCCCTATTGTTTTTATCCTCGGGCACTGACAAACTTTGAGAGGCGAAATCAGTTGCGACCTTGGCACTGAGCTGAACAAAGCTTCCTGTTATGTTTCCTCCTCCATGCCCACCAACAACAAAAACTCCCTTGGAAGTGCGACTGGACCTGAAACAAGGCCCGGTTTGAGGTCCCAAGGTTAGGATTGGTCCATGTCGCACCGGGAAAAAAAGAAGAAAAACAACTTCCGAACACCTACCCGCTCGTCTCCTCCGCCGATAGCCGCTCTGCCGCAGGCATCTCTGAGCCCCAGCCTCGGTTCTCGTTGGTTCAAGATGTGCGGTCCGTCTTATGATTTTCGGACTCCGTGGGAGGTTTCCGCTCTGTGCTTTCAATAAACATGACAAAACCATGGTGCATTCCCCTCGAGATAATCATAAGGCGCGTTTTAAACTAAACAAAACCATGTGAATTCCTGTCAAGATCATTGTAAGGCGAAATGAGGTGCATTGAACTACCGTTGCTGGAACCTCCTCCTTGTTGTCTTGCAATGACTCGAAGCTTCCAGTCCCTCTGTCCAGGAACTTGTTTGGTGCAACGGGCATGAAGCTCCTGCGAAGTAGGCGGTCTCCCACAATGGGCCGTGCTCATAGAAACCAGTTCCTTTTTGAAGGTCAGGAGGGTCTCCCATTTGAAATGGGCCCTGGAGCCAGAGCTTCAAATCCAGACCAACACTGAACTCAGTTACGGGTTGTCTGATGTACAGTCGTGATAGTGGTGGCAGAAGAGGGACAGACCCGGAATCCTGAAACACAAGAGGAAGCAAGTGGCCAAAACGTAGGGAGCCTCCCGCAAACAACACCGCCAGTGGGACACACATGTTGCCAAACCTCCGATTCCGAGACACAAAAACCGAGAACAACAGGTTGCAACAAAAGGGCGCCACACAGCAAGTTGGAGAACTGGACAGCAAGCCAGTAGATTGGCAAGTGGTGCCTTTCCTGTGGAAGCAGGGTGCCAGCAAAAAGTGTTGTCTCACGGTTGTCGGCAAAGTTCCCCAAACGGTAAAGTCCAAAGATCCAGCCACATAGACATAAAGTGTCTAAACAATCTCCTGTTGGTTCCCCTTAAGCCACCAGGTTGCCATGTTGGCTCCCCCTACCCCTCCTGCATTCCAAACTGAAAGCTACAGCGTCTCGGACTGGAGGGTTGCAGTTCCGGGGATGTTGGGGATACCACTTGCTTCAAAGGAAACCAGTTGGATGATTCAGCTGGGAGTCAAACCCCTGTTTGACTATCACAGTGGCAAGGAATCGGGTCTTGCCTCAGACTTACCGCAAACCTGGTCACATTATACCACTATCGACCCAAGAAAAAAAAGGAAAAACAACCTAAGAATCTCGGTACCTCAGAATGGCCCGTTCTGCTTCCAATGGAGGTTATTCGTTCCACTTCCGATGCGGGAACATCGAAGCCCCCGGATCTCCAACTGGCGAATGGCTCGAACCAGTCCAAGCCATCGGCTGCCCCCACCCGAGTAGCCATCCTCAGAGCGGCAGGGATTCTTACTTGGACCGCCCATGTGTGCTATGACATGCTATGACAATAGGAATAAGTACGTTTAGTAAGGTAGACAACATGGGGCCCAGAGTCAGAACATGATGACTTCTTGAATACCCGCAGGGCCAGGGAAAGGAAAGGGCTTTTTGGGGAATGGTCCCAGCGCGACCCTGACGCCGGGCGGCCGATGCATCCATTTGTGGCGCCGGGATTGGCGGTATCGAATACTTTGCGGGTAAACTTCTAGGAGTTGATTCCCCATTGCTCTGAACCACAAACTGGTGTTATTGTTATTATGCTGACTGTTTCTGGGGGTTATCAAAGTCAGAAACTGGGGAGGGGTCCAATTAACCTACCACTTTCTGGTGACTTTGATCGTGGTAAATAATGCGGCAAGATCAAAACGCTGTTCGATTTTCCTGGATTTTAGGGAGTTCATGTTTGGAAGTCAGCCCCACATGAGCCATAATCAAAACATGGGTAAGTGAGCTTGTAAGGGGACACAATTAGGCGCGGCCCCCTTTGTAGTTCTTCGCATTGGTTTTGCTAGGCCATTTTAATGCCAGGTTTTGATTGTGACTCACATGTCTTCAATACTCCTCATTGCTGTCTGCCCTTCCTTCAGGGGGGGCCGAGCTTCGACCGGATGGAAGCTGGCCCAAAAAAAAGTAATGTTGACCCCGGATTAATAAATCTGTCATATCAATGGGGTGCTCCCCTCCAAAAGTGATGAATCCCTACAAGAGGAAACCTTCCTCTTGATCAATTAACCAGGGGGGTTATGAATCCGGGGTTCCCAGTAGGGATGTCAACTGGCGGTTTTGCGGGGACGGATCGCAAAGCAGGGATTGATCTATAACGGACCGCCAGTTCAGGAGGCGTTTAGATGCACAAGCCAGTTAGGCAGGCATTTCAAGCGCGTTGGTCCAGATTTCGTCCACCTTGTCTGTCTTCTTACACAAAAAAAGAAAAACGTTGAGGGAGGAGACCCCAGCTCGGGGACGAACCCAACGCCTTTAAGGCCGACCAAAAGCTGGGGTTTGATGGGAACTTGCAAAAACGGATCTGGAGATTTATGTTGGGCCACAAAAAATGAAAAACGAAAAGGGGGTGGGCAACTTTTGTGGTTGGACAAATGTCTTTTGGGAATAAAGTCGAAGGGGGTCCCTGGCAATTCTCAATGTCGCATGAATTGACTGCGGGAGTCTTTTGCATGTGGAAAATCAGCACTGGGCCCGGTCTGACTTTTTAGTCTGCGGTATACAACTACGGTCACAAAGTCCACTAGGTGTTTTTGGCCATGTAGCGTGAGTCCTAGAGTACTTAGACACCTTATATACTCACCGGGCGAGAAAGCAGCAGTCATGCGCAAACTCAGCCGAAGTCAGCCTATTCTGATCGTATGCCTCGCCTTGGAGGAATGCTGTTTTCAAATCCATGTGGAACATATTCCAGCACCGATTCAGCAAGGGGCGAAGAATGCAAACGCACCACGCCGACACGGCCTTCCGTTCCATGTGGTTTTCTTTTTTGCTGAGTGGACCCTTGTTGTGGTCGGTTTAAAAGGAAACCAATGGGGGTATTTTGTAAGATACCCATATGGGAGTATTGTTTAGAAAACCCCCAAAATGCTGTTCCTGCTTGGTTTCCCTGTGAAACCACAAAAAACAAGAGGTACCCTCGAAAAAAAGACACACCCATAAAAAAAAGCACGAAGAAGTCTCGTCTCACCCACGGACCAAGATCCATTGAGCATCGTGGAGGGCTTGATGGATAGGCCTGCTTTTCACTGCCACAGGCCTATGTCCACCAACGTTCCAAGAAAATTCCCCGTTGAGGACTTGTGCTGCCAAACTTGTTTTAGCCCCTCAAACTAATATTGACCCCGGATTAATAAACCCCGCTTTATTCATATGGGGGTGCTCCCCTCCAAAAGTGAATTTCATCCTCACCAAAACCAGGGACACCCCCAAATTGATACACAGGGGTTGATTCATCCGGAGTTCCCAGGGATGTCAAGTGGCGGTTTTATCGCCAAATCGCCATCTCCGTAGGTCTTTAGACGCACAAGCCAGTGAAGTAGGCATGTGAAGCTCTTTGGTCCAGATTTCGTCCACCTTGTTTATCTTCTTAAAAAATAAGCTCAGTTAAGCAGCCAGTTCAGCAGATTTCGTCCAGTTGGGACACAACAGCCCGAAACCCGACGCGCAGAGGCCCGGGCCCAGCTGTCACGCCGCTCTTGGCGCTCCGACTGAAGACGTCGGGACGGCGGGAAGCGGTGGGATGCTCTACTCGGGTGCCCCCTTTTGCGACCCGGAAAAAAACGTATAGACCTGTTGGGGCCACGAAAAAATGGGAGCCCGACATGGGAAAGGTCGACAGCTCGATTTGCTTTGGGCACGTGAGTCAACCCACTTTGGTTGCCACCATAGTGATCAGGGCACCAACCCCAGTTATAGCCGTGGTTTATGCTCAATTTGCAAGCTTACCTCCAAGCGGCTTACCTCCGTAAACTCCAAACCGCCGGGCTCCAAAGAACCCAATTGGCTGGCAGCTGAACATCCGGGGTAGGAAAAAAATGGCCCTGGCTCTGTTCCAGACTTCGACCCGCCCGAGTCTACCCGAAACTCGAGGGGAAATGTTGAGCCAACCCTCCCACCCCTCTCAACTCGCAGGAACCCAACTTGACTTCGCAGTTTTTTAGGCGGGTCAACAGCTAGGATCAGGGTCGGACATGGATTGCGCCAGGTCTCCACTTTGGGATGCCCAAAAGGATTCAGCGGCCACTGCTTCCAGCACCGGAACCACTTGACCTTATTAACCACTTCGTAGCCACCAACTCAAGGTTATATCTCACATTATTTGTTGGTGTGCCAAAACTGAGCACTCCTCTACGTCGGTGTTTCAAAAAACAACATGTTTGTGCCTGTCGCAGCGTATTCTGGTTGCACTTCCTGATTTGTGCTGCTTCCCATTGTCATGTCACCCATATACCCGAATGCCTGTGGTTGTTGGCCCTTGGGCCGTTATTCGGGCTCCATTGGAGGGCCCAAATCAAACAAATGCACACACCCATACGATTTCCAGTCTCCCACCGCTTGGTGTCCCTTCAATTTTCTTGAAGGCCTCAATTGGACCTGTGGGAGGAGGAGTCAGTCCAGGACCCGAAAGCTAGGGTTTGAATCAGCTCTTCGCTGCCCTAAGAACTTTGGTACCTCAAAATGTGGCCTACCTTATGAAGGTCCCCAACCACCCCTCCAATGAAGGGTCTGGAAGTAGAGCTTCTTTCAACGGGTAAAAGTGGATGGCTGCGTCCCTCCATGTTTCTAGCATGATACAACCGCGCTACTTTAATCCCAGGCCATGTATCAATTCAAGCGATTGCTTCGCTATTTCAATGTCATGTCAGATTTGGCGAAGTTGTGCCCTTCTTAGTCCCAGGGCAAACAAATGCCGAAAGGTGTTCTAGGGGTTGACTCCCCGTTCTGCTCAACGATCCATGCCCTTTTCCAGTTGAGCGCCCCGACAACAAGGAATCCCGAGCATGGGAAAGGCACTCCGAAAGATTTGTGTCATAAACTCACTTCCCATCGAGTGGGCTGGTCCAACAAAGTCCAAGCCTTTTGTGTACTACCAAAATGGTTCAAACCCACAAAGTATAACGTCCAGTGAGTAAAGAACAGGGAGTGCACCAACATCGCGCTGTTTCCCTTGGCTCCCCTTTCAAACTCCCCCAACGCCGGGTATCCTCAAAAAAAAAACGCGCCCTCGCCCCGAGCGATTCCGATTTCCGATTTCTGGATGGCCCCGGCAGAGCCCCAGTTGCCGGCGCCGGACCAGCTGTTGCCCTGCGGCGGCGCCAACCCGAACCATAGTTGTAATGGTGGTATCTCAGCCCCTTGACTGGGCAATCTCGCATATGTGTCACGTTCGCTCGGCTGTGTTTGCTTGTTTTACGCTTGTTGCGTTGTTTGCTTTGCTTGCCCGCGGGGGATAGGAATCAACGCTCCAGGCTTCACCAGTCTTTGGAAAAACTGTGCAATTGGAGGACGATGACTTTTGGAGCAGCTCGTGGGAAAACACACCTCACTGAGGCAAGCATCTAGTGTCAGATCTCGCAATCCGTCCCACCCGCCTTGCTCTTGCCGTAGCTCTTGCCTCCTGGGCAAACTAGGCAGTCAAAACAAGGCCTGCAAAGCGGTGTCCTGCAATCGTCACTTCCCCCCTGCGTTTGTATACTTTGGAGGGAAAAGCCAAAAGGAGACCGTTGAACATTTGAGGTTCTTTGGAAACACCCATGTCATGTGCAAACGCGTCCCTGGTTTCGAGAAACGATTGCACCGGAACCCAAGGACCACGCAGTCCTTACCACAGCGCAAACAAATTGAACTGACACCACCCACGTTGCCATGGAAGATGGGTGCCTCAATAATTTTGAGGGGACTTCCTGTTGTGCATGCCAATTTTTGCCGGTCGGGCTGACGCTGGGAACGGTGGCCACTGCTTCAAGAACGTCTCCGGTTGAATAGTTGGTCATGTATTCAGTTCTTGCTTCAAGTCGTATCACCAGCATCACCAGCATCACTAGCATCACCAGCATCATTGCATCACGTGTGCGCAAGGGCGAAAAAAGTTCCAAGGTGAAGCAACATGATTCAATAAATACTCCACAGTGACAACCTGCTAGACCCACTCTAAAAAAAAAAGAAGGCGCAACAGCTGCACGCACAGGGCACGGCACCGCACCCCGTTTCCCGCCTCCGAAGACCGCGAGCGCCTGTCCTCGGAGGGTTCAGACATTCTTCCGGAGCGGAGCGGTCGGAGCTTCCACTTTGCTTGGTTGACGTTGGAAGGGGAGCAAAATGTTTAACGACAACCATGTTTGTGCCCCGAAAGTGTTTTGTTGTTTTCCCTTTTTGGTTTCCCTAACTAGGTCCTCCAGTAGAGAGGTTAGAATAAGGCTACCAACTTTTTCTGTAGTCTATTTTAGTAGGGGAACCCTCCTCCAAAAAAGGGACTGGGGGACCTAGTAAGCCACCAAAAGCGTAGCCTCCCCAACATAGCAGTGCACCAAGCTTCTTCTTGTAGGTACCCCTGCCATGTCAGTGGGAGTGGCCGACTGGCAAGGGAGCCATGGGCAAGTGAGTTGTGACTCTGGGCAAAGGGCCACCATAGCGGCCCCCTATGGCTCTGCATCCATTTCGGACTTGTTCTTGTCAGCCACTGTATCTGCCAACAAATCAGTAAAAAACTCAGAGGCTAAAGTTGCTTAACCACTGGGCCAGGGTGTCTTTCTATACGAGTTGTCAGATTTGTTAATGGTTCAGTTGGGAGGGAAGAGAATGAAGGGGGGGCGAGTTCCCAATTTCCCACAAACACCAGGGGACGAGCTCTAACTTTCCCATGTGCTCTTGGGGAAAGCTGCGTACGTTTTGACCGTGGCATACAGACAGCGGCACGCGCCTTCAAGGGACCGGACGTGTTCATTTGGTTGCTTTGTGGGTCGTTGAATCGACCATGTGCAATCTTCCGCGTCACTTTCGGGCGAACCTCAATGCCCCAATTGGGTTAATATGAATTTATAATTGGAACTCAAGATTGATATGGTATGGTTTTGGCAGCTTGCCCACCCAAAGTTACCCTGAGGTTTCGTCATCCCCCCTGACTTACCGATGCAAAAAGGAATTATCTCTTGTGTTTTTGTTTTGGTATATTGCCTGATAGGGGGGTGGATTAAGTGGTTTGAACTTGATTCCTTGCTTCTCAAAGGCATTGTGGCCAGTTTCCCACCCTAAGCGTCACACAGGACGAGAAGGACAGGGGCTCCCGTAAAATTTGGCACCTCCAGACCCCTTTGAGCGATACTCGTTGAATATCTGTCAACTGGGAGCCCCCAAAAAATCCTTAAGACGCGGGTTCAGGCTTCAAGACATTAGGTTCACTACGGGGATTGAACAGGAGGATTGCAAACTGCCTCAAGAAATCAAGTCGGGAGGACCATCGAGGTATCCGACAGATGTCTGTTTTGAGTTGTTTCTCTTTTGAGGGTCTTGGGGTCGGTGAGGCTGAGAGGGAAAGCAACAAGACCTTGAAGCCATTTCGGGGGCCCAAAAACGAGACCCGCAAGCGTCACCCATCCCGGCACCGTCTGACGTGCCGCGCCTTTGCCGCCGCCCTCGAGCTCAAGTTCTGAGGGTTTTTGTATTACACCCTGGGAATACACCTGGGTATTGACCCCATTTAGGCACATGTCCCGATAAACCGTGTGATTTTGAACCATTCTGGGTCATTTCCCAGGGGTGTAATCCCAGGCTGCAATACAAAAACCCGCAGATTTCTGGGTGCCGCTTGGCTTCACCAGAGCATCCCGAACCAAACACTGGAGACGGCCGTTTAGCACCTCCAAGAGCCTTGAGGTTCCAAGGTTCGGCCTAAAAAACGAACCACAGGAATCGATCCGGATGCATGAAAAACACCGATCGAACATTGCAACTTGTAAATGGTGGTTTCCAACTTTATTTTGGTGTTGAAAAAGCAGAACTTGCTTCAATGCAAAATGGAGATCTTTTAAGGAGCCCTGAACAAATGTGGGTCTTTGCCGTGATCTGGTTCCTGACATCGTTCTCTTCTCCCTCCTTTTTCGTGTTTTCCACTGCTCTGTTGTGAGGCGTACAATCCCGAGTGGCTCCGAACCAGCCTGGCTGCGCCATCCCGAGACTTTGCCAGGCTCCGTTCTCACTGAAAATGGCAACCAAAAACCTCAGTTTCTTACAGCCCTTCGGCAAATTTCACAAATCCAAGATCTGAAGAAGAAAAAATACAAACATATACAAGCAAAGGACCTACATCATCGGTGTTTGCCGGGCTTAAGCTCGATCAGTGAGCTCGCCACAAAATAGGCTGGCTTTTGGCTTGGGGATTGGCCAGCATCAGACAGGACTGCATTTGAGGGGAAAGGACCTACGTCCGTCGGCTTCCTTTTGGCTTCCCTTTCACTGCCCGAAGACGGGTAGCTACCATCAACAAGAAAAACACGGCCCCAAACAAGTTGTTCATGTCGGATTCGCCGGAGGCAGCCGCAACCAAGCCCATTTGAATATGGCCTCTTTTGAGGCTCCCAGATGGTTTCGGTGTTCCCTTTAAGAACCCGGGTCCATGAAGCCGCCCTAGGAACCCCTGCGAACCCTTATCCACCCCTGTAAACCCCCCGCAAAAAGAGGGCGGCCAACCCGAAAAAAGGGCTTTCCTCTTTAAAAACCGTACAGCCTCAAAGAAAACGCACCCCTGGCCTTGAAAGAGGCGCTTGGCCTTTAAACCCGGTACAGTGCCAAAGAGGGGTACCCCTGAAGGGCTTTCCCTTTAAGAACCCCCCCGAAAGGAGGGGGTACCAACCACCCGACCACCCGACGCAAGAAAAATGAGATCCGCGTCTCGGCCTTGGACTTGGTCGCCTTGCCCTTGGACTGGCCCTTGCCTCTCGCAAGTTGCGACCCGACAAATCTTCCGAGTTTGGACATGTCACCAGGGGCCACTTGATTCGTTGAGCACCCAAAATGGTCGGTCTTGTTTCGGTTTCTTTGTACGTGCCGTTTGTTTTTGGAGTGGGGGGGGGGAATGGGAGTGGTGAGGTCCCCAAAGTGATGTTGTTGTTGTTGTTTTTCTTGAAGCGGGGAGAGGGGGGAAGGGGGGGTGAGGTCCCAAAAGAGTGTTGTTCTCGTTGTTGTTTCTTTTGGGGGGGGAAGGGGAAAGCCCTCTCAAAAACCATCACACACGTGACACATATGCATTCGAGCCAACAACAAATGGCTGCCTCAGGTCTTTTTCGGAATCGGACCCTCGAAAATGGCGCCATGTGTTTTTCCTCGTGGTGTCCCTTTAAAACCACAAAATGGGGCACCCATAGAAAAAAAAAGAAAGAAAAAAAAGCAGACACCCCCCCACTAGCCACATCTATGACTGCGTTACTCGGCGCTTTCGCCTGAAACTCGGGAGGCGCTTTGAAGCTCGCAGCATCTCAGTTCCGAGTGCCCGGCTCCTCTTGACAATGGGACCTCGGTTGGGCAAAATCAGGTCGACAGGAATTGCCCCCAAGTGGACTGTGCATTTTGAAGCTCCAGAAATATTGATCCTTGCTCATACCCCCAACAACCCCAGAACCCTATCTGAGCAAAGATCCCAGCTCTCAGCTATTGAAAGGAACACCGGCCGCGGCCTGGAATCGTCTTCCAAGAACAGTTCTGGGGGGGGGGGGGTTGGCTGGAAAAACCTACGTAGGTTCGTCCAAATCTGCTGAAGGCACCAGCTCGAAGGACATTGCCTCGACTCCGCCTTCGGAGTCGTCCTCCGCATGGAGCGCGGCCATCGCAAATACTCAGCAGGTTCCCTCGATGAGAACCAGGCGCATAGTCTGAAATGTATCGCAGAGTCCTCAGAAGAAGACCCAACTTCCCCGCTGCAAGGTCTGAGCCCATCTTTTGTGCAAAGTTGGACATCCTCAAAGGAGGAGCTCACATTTCCAGGGTGACAAACTGCACCTGCCGTTGAGGAAAACAAACGTGAACCGGAAGCTGAGCGGTATTTCACTTTGACCACATCTGCCAATTCAATGCCAAAACCTGAAACGAAAATTGGAATTGGAACCCCAAGAAAGCGCAGAGATCGCAGAGGTCTCTTGCCCAGCGGCTACGGCTTGGATTCTGGTGAATCCACCCCACCCAAACAAAACGGGGAAGAAGAAAACCGAAGACCTCCAGATTTGGGATGGAAAGGGGCAAGTTAACCTTGTAACCTCCACGACACCTCCCAGCTCGAACACAAACAAATGATCCACCCGTTTACCGAACGGAGGAGAGTAGGAATCTATACGGCGGTTGTGCTCGTGGCTACAAAGCAGGCTTGCACAAATTGTTGCGGAGTTGTCTCAAGACGTGGAGGGGGCTTCTCTATTGCGACACACACACACACACACACTGAGGCCACATTTGCTTGCTAAAGCAACTGTCGGGTGCCTAAGTTCGAGCTTGCTCTTTTTCCCTTCAGTTTTTGCAGTCAGTTCGCCATTTCCAGCACATTTGCTCCTCCTTGTTTGCCGCCAGCGACCCTAAGGAGACCCTCCGACGCAGACCAGGGCCCTTCAAACCCCGCAAGACGTTTGAGGGCCTTGGAACCTCCGTGCCGAGGGTTGCAGGTCTCTTGGGTCTGGGGCTCATGGTGCTTGTCATGGGCGTCCTTGTCAAGCCCAGTGGAATAGAAGTCGGCAAGCTTGAAGAAAAACGCAACTTGTTGGGACCTCAGACTTCGTCTTCCCTGGTTGATTCCCTGGATCTTCAGAACACCAAACCTTTCCTTGACACCGCTGGGCCCCATTTCCCGCTCCGAGGCGCGGTTCACGCGCCGCGGGTCCCAGCCGAACCTCGGGAAGACCGCAGTCAACTGGTTAACACAAGGAGACACGAGACCCCAAGGACATGGTGCTTGACAGGTGAGTCTACAGAAAGTTTCTCTCATTGCAATTTGCTGAATCGATAGGTAGGGAATGAGAAATGGAATGAACCTGGGGATTCCCTTCAAGGAAACCAAATCGGGGATGGGTTTCGGGCTCAGTCCATTTCTCATTCCCCGCATGCTGGAAGCTGAGCCTCGCGACACCGACCCATCCGACCCAAGAAGCCTGGATCCTACTTCAAGGCTCTGGTGGAAGGCGCACCTTGGTGAGCTACTGTGGATGGTTGCGAAATCCGTTCGCACCACCTGAAAAAACCTGGTTGAAACCATGGTCTGTTGGTATGTACGTTGGTGAATCGACTCCTTCCTGGGCTTCTGAACGGTGGTGCTGACGGGAGCTGATGGGATCGAAAGCCGCAACCCGAAGGGCAGCTCAGTGTCCAGAGGCTTCCCTAACCAAAAGGGTATCCTCAAAGAATAACACACATATACATGTATAATATAATATATATATATATATATAATATATATATAACATCACGCAGCAGCCTCCATTGGAGGATTCTGAGAGTCAAAACAGGGGCGGGTTGTGAGGTCTAAGAATCTCATGGTAGTTGTGAAGTTGTTCGTTCATCCCTTGCTAACAGCTGCACCTTTTTTGGGAGATGTTAAAAACAACTCCTCTGAACTCTAAAATCCTGAAGGAAAGGTGGGAAACAGCTTGCCAAAACGGTGTGAAGTAAGAGCTCGGACCAAAAAGCGTTCGGCCACGTGCAGTCTTGTTCAGGGGGTAGCAGTCACAAAAGATTGCACAAGTGCTACCAACAAATGGAGGCATTAGGAAAAACCGGCCGGGTTTCTTTAACGATTGGCATGCCGTCCTTACGATCCAAAACGATGGGCGTAAGTGGCCCTCCCGGGGCGCGCTTTGGATGTTATTCTTTGTTCCGAGGGTCACTGCGTGCAACTTGGCCCAAATTGGACGGGACAGAATCAACGACAGAAAAATAGGTACAAAGGTGTCAAGATTCCCCCCCTTAAGGTGTCCATAATCTTAAGGTGTCAAGATTCAGATTTTGTTTCTTGTTTGTTCACGTCGGTCCACGGCAGACGGCCGTGGGGTTTTCAGCTGATTGGGCGGTTGGGCGGGGGGGAGGTTGAAGGGGGGGATTGGGGGGGGGGGGATGGGGGAAGGTTGGGATGTAATTACGTTCGTCGGCACGCGCCGTGCTTGGCGTGAGCCCATCGTACACGCAGCAGCGCACGTGCTCGGGGGGAAGGGGGGGATGTAAATATGTTCGTTGCCCTGTCACGATGCATTTGGACTATGTTTTGCTTTTGAAAGTGGAGGGGCATTTTCTGTTGTGCAGAGGGCTCATGCAAGTAGCAAAAGGAAACCCTTGCAGGAATTGGTATATAAACGCATGTGTATATGTATATATATATATATATATTAATATGTGTCAATAAACATTATGTGGCCTATCAGGATGTCGATATTGAACATGGGGTCCTTGCCAGTGTCGTGAGGGCAAAATGGAGGTGTTCAATACATTCACATGACACCAAGCGACCACACATCGACGTTTGCAGAAGGTTTTCCTTTTTGGGGCTACTAGTACCCTTTCTGTGACAAGCACGGTGATATGATGCTCAGCAAGGACAGTGATACGGAGGCTCTCGGCATGCAAAATGGTGTTTGCAGTGTCTTTGCAAGTAGTTGCACCCCATTGCGAAACAGTCCTCGAACTCTTGAATAACGTGGTGCTCGTGGTACGAAACATAGGTTTGGATGTGAAACTGCTTGTAATTGCGGCGCAGAAGGGTGTGTCTCAGGAAAACACGTTTCCCCCATGGAATTTACAGCGCATGAGCGCAGAGGCGGTGACGTGCATGAGAAAACCTCACGGCCGGCTATGTGCCGTATACCTAGTCTTGACCCCGGATCTAAGTAGAAACCGTCCTATTGGGGGGGGTTGCAGTTGGCCCCAATAGTGATCCAGATTCCCACTAGCAATTGGACACCCCTCAATCAAAATCAACCAGGAGTTCTGCTTATTCGGGGTTCGACACTTTTCCAGGTAAAGGGTACAGGCAATGCACTTTACCCTCACATTTTTCCCCGCTTGCTTGTGAAAACGAGAAAGATCGTCCAACCCGAGTGACTTTTTTACTTGATGAGGCTCGACTGGGCCTTGGTGAGGGTATGTTGAACCATATTGGGTATCTTACATACCTCATGGAATCGCTCGTTTTACCCCCGGATCGGAAAGCTTATGACAAAACAATGCGTTCAGTCAGATGGATCTTTCTCTCGGCAGGTTGCCCTATCCCCAATTTGCGGCCGCATTTTTCGGACAAAACGCAGAGGTGAATCAACAATCTGGATGCTCTCGAAATATGGTTTTGGACTGCCCAAAATTGGTGGGTTCCCTTCAAAACAAACCGAAACAGGATGACACAGTTCACCCCAATCAAAACCAGCAACTAAGGGTTACCTGAAAAGATAAACTTGAGCGTAAGAACAAGGGTCTCTGACGGACACCAACAAAAAAGGCACCATTTTGGGGCTCCCCCTGATTCTGACACATGGGTGTGGCTCAAAATTAAACAGGAGGGGCAAACCGCAGGTTTTGGTCCATGTTTCCACTAACCAGGGTTCCATTTTGGTACCGGTTTTTTGAGCCACAGCCACATCATGTTGCTGGTTAGGGAAATCCTCAGATTTCCAACAAGCCACAAGATGAGTTTGGTATCCGACCTGTGCAGATTGGCCCATTTCACAATGGAGGACTCCATTCATAACCGGGGGCCAACGTGATAGTGTAGTACGCGGTCATTAGGTGCCAGGTGTGTCGGCTTTGCACAGTAGATCGTCACTCCCAGTACAAAGGCTGGTTGTCAAAATGGAGAGTTGGCCAATCTGAGTGTTCGCAAGCCCGATTTCCCAATCACTAAAAAAGGAACCGAATCCTTTCGAAACTCGAAGGGAAGGGAATCTTTTGGATTGCTTTTGAACAGCCCAGATTGAGACACTAAAACGACATGGGTGGGTAAAAGCCAAAATTGAGTTCCAGTCGACCGGAAAAGCAAAAATGTGCTTCTCCAAAAACACGTGCTCTTTTTCCAATGTCGCCTTCTAAACAACATCACCCCATCCACAAGGACATTCCATCAACATTGACCCGAAAGATGATGTTGGCCAAAAATTCATAAACTCTCTGCTTGGGGCTTGGGGCCGGGGCTCCCGGCCCCTTGCCCTTGCCTTTGCTCTTCCCCTTGCCACCTTTCCCTGACCTGCGCGGCTTGCTTGCGGCTCGCAAGGCGTGGGTGGCATCGACTCTGTGTTGGGAGCTTCTACAGCTACGAGTACCCTCCCACCAACTAACGTGGAATGGCAGGGTCCCTTTAAAAGGAGAATGGTCCAAACCAGAACCCCCCGAACGTCAGGTTCCATGTTAATTGGTGGGAGGGTACCTTTAGCCTTCGCGCTTCGTTTTATTCACCCCGGACGATTTGCAGGTTTTCGTGGACGGGGTTGGATTGGTTGGACAGGGGCCTGACGAGGAGCATCCATTTGATTGGCTTACAGCTCCTCTTTTTGGAAGAGAAGCCCACGGTTTTAGCACGTAATTCTGTTGGCAGACCTTGGGACAAGCGACAAGCCACCACCTCCAACGCAAGCTACCCGACATGAGCGTATCTTCACCCAGAAGGAACCCCAAAATGGCTGTTGCGCTCTAAACCCATCCCACAAATGCCACCCACGAAAAACAAACACACCCGCATACTTCCAACCAGGTGGAAAACGGACCGCACGGTAATCTCTAAGCTAATGGGCTGTCGAAAAGTAAACATGAGGGGCCAGTTGCCCAAGCGGTGCGGCGGATGCCGTAATTTAAAGCAAGAGGGAACAAGTTGCAAAACACTTCTTCTTTAGCACAACTTAACAGGGCTGTGTGGTTGAATGTGGTTCACCCGAACAATCTTGGAACTGGTGCTTAGGGCACTTGGGTTTCCCTCAATTCATCGGGGTTTGTGGTTGGATGTGGTTGCTTCAAAAAGATGCTTGGGACACCAAAGCAATATTTGGGGAAGCGACTGTACCTCAGAAACACCAAGCGGAAGGCGTTTTTCAACGGGTCTTTGGGGAATCTGAGCGCCAGCGCTTTTTCAGTGCCATCGTCAAGTCCAAGGTTGGGCAAAACCTTGGAAGAGTGTGTCCCTGTACCGGGACAACCAAAAGAGGTCATATTCAAGCCACTGGTAGACATTTCCGAGACATTGGCCCAACCCTGTTGCAAAATCGCTCACATCCAGCAGCTCCCTTCCCATTGGATCAGGGACCCGCTTTCGAGATGCGTCAGCCGTCTCCTTTCAGCCGTCCACCTTCTTCATGTGAACGGCCAGCTCGACTAGCCTGAAGCCGACACCCCCAGCTGACCAAAACGAAGCACAAGGCTCGGACAAAAGCTCCAAAGTTTGACCGGGGTGCCAGCTTTCGGGTATCTATTGGTCCTTTAGGCGTCGGCGACAGGCTGTCGCCGCCTTGTCTTACTGCTGGCAGGCGCACTTTTCGGAAAGGACCGCGGCCACGATCCTTTGCACAAAGAGTGTGTCTTAAATTCGGGCATCCCCAATATGATGGTTTTTTGGCTTTAGCTTTCCTTTAAAGCGACCTAAAAGGATACCCTCAAAAATAGACGCACCAATAGGGCATCTCTCAGCGCCTACTTCAGAAACTTCAGGGGCCGAAAAGTGACCGCTGATTCCGATAGCCTTGGTTGATCAGTCCCCTAAATAAGGTTTACCGTACAACCCCACTTTAGTGGAATTGTTCAGATGATTCACCACTCATCCACTGTGAAAGCGTTGGGAGATTCCCTTGAAAGACAGGAATTCGACCACAAAACGAGACGACCTCCTCGACCAAAACCCAGGTCGTTGGCGTTTAGAATGTATAGAACCGTTGCATTGATCCAGGGTCAACACTCGGGATCTTTGAGCCGTCCGCTTTCGCTCCCAACATACCCAGCCTGTTGGAGTAGCCCCACTCGTTGTCGTACCAGCTCACAAGCTTCACAAAGTTGTCCTCAGACAGCTTCAGTAGCTTGCCACCGGCTTGTTCGCCGGCGTTTGATTGGTTCTCCGTTGTGCCTGTTGACACCCCAAAACTAAATTTATCGCCTGTTAAACACCCTCAAACATGAGCTTGATATGTTTTGGCTAGAAACCTTTCGGCGATGTTTAAACTTCCACAGAGGTTTAGGTTCTTGGTCAGAGCCGAAAGTCATGCTTGGCAAGGTCCACACAGAGTCTCTGGTCTTGTCGGTTGCTTCATTCGTGCCAAAGCCACTTCCGGCATGATCTTGCTCTGCCCCAAAAAACCTGGACATATTTTAAGTCTGATGTGAAAGACGACTTTCTCCTTGGAAAGGGGCTTTGTGCACTTCCATGTTGGCTTCAAGTGGCATCTGAGATGGCTGTGCCCACCCAAACAAACTTGGAACATGACACCTGTTTGAAGGATGCTTAAATGGAAGCGACGAGGACCCCAAGCAGTTGAGGATCATCAAACACTAGAAGTGAAATTGCCAAATCGTCAGCGCTCCCCCCGCATTTGCTCTTGGAACATTGCCTGGTGTTCGCCTATCTGGCAAATTCCAGAATTCCCAAGCTGGAAGTCAGGCAAAGGGCCTGACTCTTGGGTGAGCTCTTCTTACCCCCGACCGGTGAGCTCACCATAATTCGTCCAGAATGACGACTCCCGTGGTTCCCCCGATTCGTACGAGAAACGTTCAGGGAGATGCCGGCGCCCACGTCGAAGACGGAAGAGCTCTTGCCTGGAACCCGACTGAACAACTCCTGCCCAAATTGGGTTTCCCTTCAACAAGTGGTGGGTGTCCTTCAAAATGGGTTTCCCTTCACAACTAAACAACTCAGTGGGTGTTCCTTTGGGACCATCGTGCTCTTGCCAAAATGAGGTGTCACAAATGCTGCCAACACCAAAACGGGGTCCTTGCAAAATGAGCAGGTGTCAAAGTGTCAAAATGGGTGTCACAATGCGTCCCTTCAAACCAACCCAAAAGTCATGAGCCTCAAACAAACAAAAAACGCCAAATCCGCTGAGGTTGGCTCACGGTTTTGCATTGTGATTTTAGACCAAAGGCCGTTGCCCCTGCTTTTACCGGCTTTCTGGCAAGGAGTCCTAGCAACAACGTCGTGGTGCGATTTCTGGATTTCACAATCATCCGCAGTATTGCCCACAATGGACGAGCAGTCATTCCCACTCTCTTTGTTTACCCCTACATCACCCCAGAGTACACTCAGCGATTGATCTGCATGTTTTTGCAATATGTCCAAAACATGAGAGAAGAATCGGATCCCCAAGTAAAGAAGCTTCACCATGGCTTTCGCTTGTATCGGTCAGCCCGCCATTAAAAAAAACAAAAACAGATAAAATGCAGATATCATGGCGTATGGTATGGCAGATACGACCTGGTTCAAATCCCAATTCCCAAACCATCCAAACCAACCTGACGGGTTACCAAAGGAAACTCATCCTGTGTCCAATAGGACCCAACAGCGGTCCCCCCAATCGCGACTGGCTTCTTCTGGGGTTCCTTTTGGGACTTGCAGAAAATCCCCTCAAAGAGGGTTCCTGCCCAACCGGGGTCTTTGTCGCTTTTTTTGGGCTTTTTGGGCTCCTTTCACCTTGCCGAAGATCCCCTCACAGGGAGGGCCCGGCGGACCAAAGTTAAAGTTGGAACACTGTAGGGTCTGTCAGGGCTTCTTTGCCTTCCTTTCGAGCACCATTTGCAGCACGTGTCCCCTCTTTCTGTTGGTCCCCCTGACCGTTCTCAGCGAGTTCTCGGCTCGAGCTGCAGGTCACGAAGTCTGTGGACACCACCTCCTCGTCCGTCCAGTCCAGCACCCCCTTCCTCGCTTCACCCGAGAGCCTGTTGGTTGATTGACCTGGAAACTACCCTTTTTTGTCCTGAATGGGAGACCTAGGGGGAATTATCGTGTTAAAAGCCGTCATCATCATTATCATCATCATCATCATCATCATCATCATCATGATCATGATCATCATCATCATCGTCCTCATCATCATCATCATCATCATCATCATCACTCGCATTGCCAACATTATCAGCATCACCAACATTATCAGCATCGCCGACATCCTCACAGTCCTGCATCCTCCGCATCATCGGCATCGGCAGCATCATCAGCATCTCCCGTATCCCTCTGGTGCCGCTTGCTAATTTTGCAGAGTGCCATTATCTAAATGCATAAAAAAGAAGGGGCTCATCAAACAGAACACCTCACACCTTTTTGGCGTCTTCATTTTGACACCTTTTTCGATGCGTCCCCCCACCCGCCCCTCACCCCCCGCCCGCCCCATTTTTCCGAAGTCCCGCTCCGCGGCCAAGCGGGCGCCGAGCGGCATGGGCCCGGCGGCGGCCTCCTTGATGGCGGCCACGATGTCGTCGTACTTGGCCGGCTTCTCCAAGCCTCGAAGTCGATTTCGCTTGGCTGAAAATTGGGGGGAAACGTGATCTCTGACCCCTTTGACCCGTTTAACCCGGGACGAATTACCAAAAAAACTGGACCAAATCCCAAGAACCTGGAATTCTCTTCCTTGTGCTTGAACCCAGTACCGCTTTCATTGGCTGAACCCTGGAAAGAAAAAGTCCGGTGTGACATCGATTCCCGAAAAAAAAAGAAAAACAACAAAAAAACACAATGTGTTTAAAGGTTGATTCAGAAACCATCAGTTTTCTCTAGGTGTTGCGGCATGTTCAGAGCAGAATCCGCTTTTCAGAATGGGGATACGGCTAGAATGCATGCTAGTTTCCCCCTTTAAACTGGCGATATCACGAGCAACTTCAAAAACGACCCGCCAATTTGCCGATGCTCCAAAAATGGTACCCGAAATGCCCCCTTTGGCACCGGGGAGAAAAAAACAAAAACAAAAAGCATGCGCCGCACCCATTTGTTCCCCTGGCCGCCAAATGACCATAGGTAACTTTTCTCATCGGACCTTTTTCTCAACAGCCATACACCATCTACCCCCATTTTGCCACCCCCGTATTTGACGTGTCCGGAAAAGGGGAGTAGGGGGGAGGGTTATCCTGTATCCTCTCTTGGGCGTCCGACACGCCCGCGTTTCTTTCGTTTGGCTCCTCGTCTCTTTCTGCGGTCCGAGGTGCGGCAGGTGAGGTCCACCACGGAGACGTCCGGGGTGGGCACGCGGAAGGCCATGCCCGTCAACTTCCCCTTCACCGCCGGGATCACCTGACGTCAACAGAGCCGACTCCAAATGGTGCGTTCAAAGGCAAACAAAAAGCAGGAATTAAGGCACAAAAACGAGGCTCCCCAGAAAAATACGTCAAACGAGCCTCCAAAGGGTTCGTTCAAAAATATCTCGAGATTGACAGAACTCACCCCAAAAAGGAATTCACCCCACAAAGGCGAATTCACAAGAAAGCCCGATCATTCAAATGCAACAATTCACCGGCATGAATCCAAAATAGGAGGTCCGAAAATAAGGCCCAAAAAAGGTTCCCCAAAAATGGGGATTCAACTGCAACAGTTCACCGGAATTAACTCAAAAGAGGAGGTCCGAAAGGAGGAAGCTCCTCCAAGGGCGGGTTTTTTTGTGAGTTTCCTCGCAGGACGGTCTGTTGGGGTTCTATATATACGTGAACTGAGATTGCGGCCCGTTTCCGCGGGGTTCGAACACTTCGGGCTCGAAAACCCGTGGAGCAGACCTTCGAAGGCAGATTTGGCTGCGGCCGGAAAAACAAAAAGGAACCTGAAGCCTCAAAATTCCAACTGAAAAATGGGTTTGACCCCCAAAATTATGGGGTGATATCCCCATTTTTATGGGTAGTGTAAGGGTGCAGGAACCCAACATGGAACCCTTTTTGTTTGCGGTTGCGATAGCGCACAGTGTCTGTTCGACGCAGCGATTTATTGGGGGGGGGGGGGGGAAGAAGGAGAAGGCCCCTAACAAAATGGAACCTTGGTTAGTGGAATTTGGACCAAAACCTTCGTAACCCCAGCGGTTAAAGTTTGAGCCACACCCATTTCCATGGGAAGGCGTCCTTTTTTGTTGGTTGATCCCCCCTGCCACAAGGGCAGGGGTGGGTACCACGTTATGAGTATGTATATATATATATATATATATATATATGTATATATATATATGTATGTATATATATATATATATATTACAATATGGAATGCATTGATGGGCGCAGAAAAACCTTCGCTGGAGCGAACCTTCAGAAGCGAATCCACTGGCCTTGCCCACGGCCTTGGCCGCTCCAGTGGAGGAGGGGATGATATTTTGAGAGGCGCAGCGGCCGCCGCGCCAGTCCTGCGCTCCGGAGCGGATGGTTCTGATAGGTGCGGAGATTTGTGAGGAGGGTACCCCTTCTTGCGGCGGGTGTTCAGGGGAAAGCAAAAGGACAGCACCAAGTAAGAACAACACGGCTTCGGTTGTCCGGTTGTTTTTCCTTCAAAACCAGCCACAAAGGGGGGTACCAATTCAAAAAAGACACACCCATTGCAAGTAATGGAGCAAGGATACGGCGGCTTCACCGGAAATCCTCATGGTTTTGGCGGGCGTCATTGGGTAGCTTGCAATATGGCAAGGCGTCCACTGTACTAAACTGGCCGCCCAAAAATCTGAGTGTCTCGAAGGGGATCCTTTCCCTCGAAAACCCGCCAAACGGCTGAACTTCCAAGGGTCGGTGAAGTCTTACGAGCCAAATGAGAATGCGGGGTGTGAGGTGCTTTGCAAGCAAACTGGTGTGACTTTTTTTCGGGGTACCCGTTTTGTTGATGGTTGGAAGGGAAATCAAAAGAAAAAACACCGTTTTGGCGGGTCCCCCATTTTAAGACACACCCAAAACGAGTCATGTTCAAAGGATGCAATTGTCCAGCCCCTTGCATTGGCCAAAGTCATGCTGACCGGGCCTCATGGCGAGTGACTCACGGGTTGCCTTTTTTTGGGGATGTTCCAAAGGGTTAAAAGGGTGAAAGGTCAACATCAGCTATCCCCAACCTGGGAATTTAACAAGTGCACCCAACGGAATAGGAAAATGGTGAAGATTGACCACTCACATAGCAGGGTGCTCCCTTTGGCAACCCGTTTTGGCAAAAGAGGAACTACATACCCAAAAGCTAAAAGAGGCTCTGAGGTCCTCTAAAGCCCTTTTCCAAGGTTGAAGGTCAAGCGAGTTTCAACATCTTGAGCCGTTTCAGGGTGGTCCTTCTGCAATTTCTATCTGGGTTGACCAGTTCTGCATACCAGTCCCAAGGGGAACCATCCGAGATCACATTTTATCGTTAATCGAGGTACGGTGGACCATAAGAACAGTAAATGCTATCTATGAGTGTCTTATTTGTGAGGGTGCTGTACCCCTTTTGGTGGTTTTACCAGGAAACCGGGGTCCCCTGCACCAACGGTCGATTTCCTCCCGCGCCCCACACACAGTTCCTACTACAGCGGGAAACTTCCGCAACCCGAAGCCAGAGATCCGAATCTATCCAGAAAGCCACGCATCGAGCTGCTAAAAGAATGTTTGAGAAGAGTGAAAACGGAGCACAGAGTCCTCCAACTGTTTAGGAAAGATTGGGCTTCCTTTGGGAACGGAATCTATCTCTAGACTCACTTCCTGAGTGGATTGGCCAAATCAGGTCCAAACTGAGGTTTGCCATTAAATTGGTCTTCCAAAAAAGAATTTGTTTAAAAAGTCCAGGATTTCCGGACTTTACATGAGCTTTGGGAAATAAGAACCTGAACCTAGGATTCAGTTTTTGTTCTTTGTTCCTCAGTGAAGTGAAGGGCAAAGATGTCCGCGATGGTCCCAAACCTCGACCCAGTTACACTCCTGCAGATTTAGCATAAAATCCGAAGAAGCATCTGCTTTAGGCGCTCGCTCTGCAAGCAAGCAAACAACCAAGAAAACAAGCAAGCAAGCAAGCAAGCAAGCAAGCAAGCAAGCAAGCAAGCAAGCAAGCAAACAACCAAGAAAACAAGCAAGCAAGCAAGCAAGCAAGCAAGCAAGCAAGCAAGCAAGCAAGCAAGCAAGCAAGCAAGCAAGCAAGCAAGCAAGCAAGCAAGCAACCAACCAACCAACCAACCAACCAACCAACCAACCAACCAACCAACCAACCAACCAACCAACCAACCAACCAACCAACCAACCAACCAACCAACCAACCAACCAACCAACCAACCAACCAACCAACCAACCAACCAACCAACCAACCAACGAGCCAGCCAGCCAGCCAACCAACCAACCACCAAACAACCAGAACCAACCAACCAATCAGCCAACCAACCAAGCAAGAGCAACCAACCAACCAACCAACCAACCGACCGACGGACCAACCGACCAACCGACCAACCGACCGACCAACCGACCAACCGACCAACCCACCAACCGACCAACCGACCAACCGACCAAGCAACCAAGCGACCAAGCGACCAAGCGACCAAGCGACCAAGCGACCAAGCGACCAAGCAACCAAGCGACCAAGCGACCAAGCGACCAACCGACCAACCGGCCAAGCGACAGGGCGGCGACCAACCGACCAACCGACCAACCGACCAACCGACCAGCCGACGAACCGACGAACCGACGAACCGACGAACTGACCAACCGACCAACAAACTGAGCAAGCAACTAACAAGGGGCACCAGCCCCGGTAATACAAAAAAAGCACAACACCTCATCCCAAGTGCCGCAATCCCCGCGCCTTGCCACCACGGGAGGGGCCATCCACGGTGAGCTGCGTGGCAGTCATGGCGTGCACGGTGGTCATCAAGCCCTCCACGATGCCGAACTTCTCGTGGACCACCTGCAAAGGGTCCAAGTCAAACGCCCCCTTTGCGGGGTGCTCCTTTTTGAAAGGGGCTTTGGAAGAATTGAACATTTCGGGGGTCTGGAAGCTTGACTGATTTCACCTAATATGTTGGCATCGGGTTGGGTAAATAGAACAAACTTGTGGTTGCTATTGATAGCACCCTCGGGAGGGGCACAGCTGGTTCTTCAGGTCTAAGTCAGCCTGCGCTTTGAAAGTTCTCCGAACAGGGAAGTCGACTACAGGCTCCCCGATCTTCAGCTTCCCATAGTGGCTGGAAGCCCGCTGGCTTGGAGCTTAGCGGAGAAGAAAACCAAAGGCGGCGGCTTCAAATCTCAATCCGAACCACCAAGTAGAAGTCTTGGGTGAGAACTTCTCGTGTTCGGCAAATTTGCCGAAGAACCAAAGGCATGGTGTCCTCCAACAAATGCCCCGCTGTTTCTTGCAAGGAATGTTTGCAGCAAGCTCCGTTTGGTCCCCTCGCAGGTCCCGAATCGGGTCTGGCCGTGAAACCTCATGTCTAAATATGCCTGTAGCTCAAAAAACCGGTGCCAGAATGGAACCCTGGTAAGTGGAAACATGGACCAAAACCTGCGGTTTGCCCCTCCTGTTTAATTTTGAGCCACGCCCATAGGCTTCAACGCATGCAAAGGAGGGACAACCTCCTGGTCTCCCTTCAGAAGGCCTAATTGGGTCAGGTTGTTACAAGTGATGCCCAAACCATTTCCCTAGTTTCCCGGGCCAAAAAGAAACTGGAAGCACTGAAATTCCAGAAAATTACCCCCCTCCTTCAACTCCATTCTCAAGAAAAGGCGGGGGGCGGGTTTATTTGGGTGACCCCAAATGGCACTCAACAAGTGGGTTCTTTTCGGATGCTTCGCTCGCATTTATTCGCTCGTACTTGTTCTTCCTCTGCTTCCAGTGATTCCCCCTCACTTTCGTGGCCCCGAAAGTAGCCCACCCCCGACAAAAACGAGAGCGGATTTTCCCTGTGGCTGCCCTTGAAACCAACAAAACAAAACGGGCTCTCTCGCTCCAAAAAACAATTCTTGCACCCCTTCCCCTTACTCCAAATACCCGCATTTTTCAAGGTATTTTTTGAATAACCTGGTTTTCCACGGTAAATACCTCCTTTTTTAGTAGAGGGTCGACATCATAGCCTAAGAAAAGAGGGTATTTGGAGTAGGGGGCGCCCCTTGGATTTTTTTTTCACGCGCAGGGTTCGGGCTCGCAGGCTGCGGCCCTTCGGCCTTGGTGAGAGGCGCCAGGCAGTTGGTGGTGCACGAGGCGTTGGAGACCACGGTGTCGGAGCTCTTGTAGTCCGTGTGGTTCACGCCCACCACATACATGGGCACATCATCCTCTTTCTTTTGCGAGAAAGGTTCCACAGTTTGGGGGGTGGGATTCGTACCCATCATTTCAAAGAACCTTTCAAGGGTTGGTTGGATAGCCCTGTTTGTGTTAGCCAAATGGTTCGTAATCCTAGCCAAATGATGCTTGCTTCACGACAACTATTTAGGTATAGAGGCTTGGGTGTGCTCAGGTGGAGGGGGGCGGTAGTGGAAACCGTCTTAGGCACAGAATAAGGTGGAACACAACAAAGCCTTGGTATTTAGAGGAATGTTTGTTGGGGGGGATCCCCTTGTTAGGTTCTTTCCGTTCATCTGCAGAGTAGTAAATCCACATGGCGGGCGTACATCCCTCTGAGCTTGTCTCAAAGTGGGTTGACCTCGTTGATTGGGTTTCAAAGGGAAATCGACGGAAACAACCACCACCCCCACAAACTTTAATGGGGCGTACAGCCACAAGATCCCGTTTGCCCAGATCTTTTCCCGTGGTTCCTTTTTTGCCTCAATTTCAGCAATCTGGTGGTGGAAATCATCTTGGAAATCTGTCAAAGCAAGGATTTGGCCCCCCCCATGGTTGCTGTAGACCCTCTGCCAAGTGAATCACTTGTAGGTCCACGGAAAATCCCAGCCCCCCAAAACGTCGTCCAAAGATCCATCCCCCAACTGCCCAGAACGCAATGGCTTCGGTTTCTGTGTTTGGTTCCCCTTCCACCTACCAAAGGGCTACCCTAAAATCAAACACACGCCAGTTCTGGGGGTGTCTGGGTCCGTGCCGCAGACAAACACCGGGTCTGTCTTCGCGCCCGTTGCTGGAAGGGTTTGAAGGGAAACCAAACGGGAGAACCGTTGCCATGTTGAAGGAGGGTTGTCTGGGTTAGACAAACAAGAAGACGGAAACCAACAGGAAAACCAACTTAAACGCTTAAACCTATCATAACCCCCCCCCCCCCCAAAAAAAAGGGAAAAAACTCACACACAGACACAGAGACACACATCTTAACCCCCAAACCGCTCGTTTTGTCCGCCCATCCGCGCGCTTTCCAAAAGCGCCGCCCAAGCCTTGGGGGGCGCGGAGATGATCACCTTCTTGGCGCCGCCGCCGAGGTGCAGCTCCGCCTTCTCCTGTCGAGTTGCACCAAACTTCTCGCGCCCGCCGGCGCTGCTGCGGTTTTTTCTTTTGGGGGGCGGGGGGGTGGGGGGGGAGATTTTTTGGGGCGGGGCGGGGCGGGGGGGGGGGGAGTGTTTCTTTTTTTTTGGAGGGGGGGAGGGGGGGCGGGGGGAAACAGATCTTCAGGTGGGTTGTGACCCTACACCAACAACCGTTACGAAGTAATTCCCCACAACATCATGGAAATACGCATCATCAACAGCAAAACAACTTAAAGGTTGAAGATCATGTGTATATCTTCAGGTTTGTAAATTGACTTGCCCAGTAAATCATGTCACTACCATCTGATTCAAACCATAAACAAGAAGAGGGGGTTAACATAAGCACCAGTGTTTACCGTTTATTCTCATCACCTAGATTGGGTCCTTGCCATTCTCATCAGGGGCAAGGAATTTCAGGGACTGTGGAAAAATTTGTCCACCCCGCAGTCCATGTCCGGCAGTTCCATTCCGGTTTGCTCGAGCATGGTCGCGTGTTCGGCCAACCCAAATGAAGCCATAAGCATTGGAGGGGTACTGTGTGCGTGCAACTATTTGGCCCCTTTTTGTCGCCCGCACCTTTCCTTTTTGGAGATGGAAAACATCCGCTCGGGCTGAGAGCACCTACTTCTCAGTTCCCGATGGCACACACACACACACACATCCCGTTACGGCTTTTTGTCGACTACTAAACTTGCGATCGGTGCGATAGATAGGGAATGTGGGAATGAACCGTTTTGAGATCCCCCTGAAAGGAAACCACCAGTTGGATGGTTTTCCTTGGTCATGGAATGAATGTCTCATTCCCTGCTCAGCACAAGCAAGTGAAGTTCAACCCGGGCAGTGATTCTTTGAGGAATCCCCCAGTCCTGCAGTAGTAAACTGCGGGGGAGTCGCTCTAAGTTTGTGATGGGTCTTTCGGGGTTCGACTTTCGAATCTGAAACTAGGTATAGTAGAACCCTCCACTAAAGCAGCCATTCCCATTCGGGGATTCGAAAGGTCCTAACCCTCCGAGTTTGTGCGGGGCATTCTTTTCTTGGTAGTTGATCTTAAAGGGAACCCCCTCCAAGCAGAAGAGATGGCATATGTGACCTTTGGAAAAATAGATGGCCCTGTTGGAATAAATCCAATCTAAACCAGTGGAAATCATCCATAACCAGACAGGCTTCAAAAGGACCCCTAGTGGAAAAAGGGTCCAAACCGCACCGCCCCTAGAAGCGGTTTTCGAACTCGTCGTCCGGTCCTTGGTGGTGAAGATCCCGGTGGACTCGCACACGTACTCGGCGCCCGACTCCCCCCACTTGATGCTGGCAGGGTCCTGCGGAAAAGGGAGCTCGGAAATATCATTCCAGGGGTTCTTAGGTGGTGCGGTTTATGGATTTTGGCCATCCACAGTAGGGTCACCCCAAAATGGGTTGCCCTGGCAAATGGACACAAGGACTAAAGCCTGCAGTCCATGATGGTTTAAGTTTGACCCATCCCATATTGCAAGTAGGGAACAATTATAGACCCCTGAGGGGGGCTATGGGGAGGAAGGGCGGCCATCCCCGGACAAGCCCAAGACAAGCCAAGGATAAGCCATTTAAAAAGGCCTTGTGAAGGGGTCAAGAAGGGATAACCCCCCCTCCCCATAGCCACCCTAAGGGGTCCATGGAATTAGGGAAACGCTGAAACTTCCAATTGGTTTGTGGAAGGGTTGTTTGCAATATTCAGGGCATCCACTGTACGGTTCTCAAACCCAGAAGGAATCAAACACAACCTCGGCAACAATTGATCGGTGTTCTGGGTTCCATGCTCGAAGTACCTCAAGATGGGAAACTTGGAACCAGGCGGTTCAAAGAAAAAAACATGGTTGCAACAATGGCACCATGTTTCCCAGCGTTCTTTTTCTTGCCTATCCCGCCTTCGAGTGTTTGTTTGTTTAAAGCAAGATGTGGATTCTACACGTTTGGGGGGGGGCTATGATTTCCTGTTCAATCCCGGGATCTAAAGCAGCAGCCTGCCACAACGCTCCGAGGATGTCCATAAAGCAACCAACAGCGTCCAACTCTCTTCTTGGAAACAAGAAGGCACGTGTTGCGTTGGCGCAGTGGGTGGTTTTCTGAACATAAGGGGTACCGTGGAAAATGCTTGGCATCCTTTTGGTGTCCCTGTCAAATACCAACCAAAGGGGCTCCGAATGCCCAGTTTTTGGAAAAAAGAACAAGAGAAAAACAAGTGTTGATGCCCCCATTTGACCGATCCACCGGCCACCGGCCAAACCGGGCCGCGTCCTTCTCGTGGAAGACGGCGATGTCCTTGCCGTTCACAATGAGGAACTCCTTGCCGCCCTCCTCCTTGCAGGCGATGGTTCCCGCGAACATCTTGTGCACGGAGTCGTACCTACGTCGTTACTAAGACCCCGGGATGGTTGTTGCGGTTGTTGCTTCTTTTCTTTTTCCCCAACAGCTGAAAGTGGGTCTCAGCCCAGATAGGCTCCGGGGTGGTTCGGGGCGACCCTGAGCTAAGGTTCCACCAGGGTTCCACCAGGGGTTCCCCACTAGTTTTGCTATAGATACAGCTGCAATCCGCATGCTAAGGAAGCCCCGGCGTTGAGCTATAATATGGGTGGCTGGGGTTGCACCACGGGACGATCGGGGCCCGATTGCACTGTCGGGCCCCGATCGGGCCCCGATTGCACCGTCGGGCCCCGATCGGGCCCCGATTGCGCTGTCAGGCCCCGATCGGGCCCCGATTGCGCCGTCGGGCCCCGATCAGGGCGAGATTGCGCTGTCACTCGTAGCTTTGCTTTACAAGGCGGTATCCTCAGCAACACCGGCGGTAAGGATGGTCCCGGCGCGTTCCGCGAGGATTCTGAGAGGGTGTGGTGCTGTTGGGGATATCGCCCGAGCTTATTTTTTTTTGGGGGGGAGTATTTTCTGGAGTTGGTACCCTTTGGTTGGTTGTTTGAAAGGGGAATTGGACAATTTGGGGATGTAGCTTTTTCGGAGTCAGTACCTTTTGTTTGGCTGTTCCAACCAAAAGCAAAGCAACCATGTTGGGGGGCTCCATACCCATGTTTGGTTCTGGTTCTGGTTCTCATGCAGGGAATGAATGAGTTGACCCCGAACTGGACGATTCCGCGCGGCTAAGGCGAGCCAAAGCGCCTTCAACAGATTCCCAGCAAGACAAACCACCCAAACAGATTCCAAAAATGGGTGGGATCCACTAGTTGCCCTAGGTATCCTTTGCGAAGAATACATAATAGATTCCACTGATAAATGATTGGGACCAAACATAAATCAACCAAACTGACCTGAAAGGAGCCCTGAAAGCAACTTCCCCCCGATTGCCAGACGGGACTGCTTTAAGCGCCCAGGTCCTGGTAAGCAAATCAAACTTAATGCGCAGTTTGGAGGTGATTGACTTCCATCTGATTTCACCAACTTCCGGGCCTCACTCCAAGAAACCAACCCAAACATGAAAAGCCCAGCCGACCCACTCGCTTCTATCCGGTCCTTTGGAAACGAGTCACCCGCGGAAATGGAGAACCTACCCTGTCCCTGAGGATCCCTGGAAACCACACCTGCAACTAGCTTCAACATGGCCGACAGTCACAGCCCCAACACCCCCCGCCAAAAGAAAATGAACAGTTCTTGGAGGAGTGTTTGGGCCCTAGGAACAGTTCCATGAGAAAGGCAAGCAAACCGGGCAAAACAATTTATGTTGGATCCCTGTGTTACCCAAGATAGCCAAAAGATAAAATCTGGAAACTGCCCTGCCCCCAAAAGGCTCCATCGCTCATTCCCTCAGTCGAAGCAACTGGTTTTGTCAAGTTCCCCCATGGCCCAAAAAGTACACCAATTGGTTTTGTCTGTTTTGAGGATTTCACTTTGGGGTATCTTACAAGGAGGCCAACAGGACATCCGTTTATCCCGTATTTTGTTGACCGAGACCAAGACTCGCAACTGCGTGTTCAGATAAATTCGAGGCCTTCCAGAAGAGACTAGGTCCTCCAAATTTGAGAGGTTAGAATAAGTTGGTACTAACTCTTTTTTGTCTGTCGAGTTTTTAGGGGACCCTCCCCCCAAAAAGGGGAGAGAAGGGCACTGGGGGACCTAGGAGAGGACCCCTTGCCCCCAAAGAGATCCCAAAAAGAAGTAGCCAAGGCAGGCAGCGGGTGTGGTTCCCCAATTGTGGTGTCCAACTCCATTGGGGGTGAACAAAAAGTGAAATGATCGACTTGCGATCCAGTGGAGTGCCCAAAAAAAAACGAGAAGAAGCAAAAAAAACGAGGGGAAACATCCTAATCCTACTTTGCTCCAAGGTCCAAATCCTTTGAGGTCCAAATCCAAGGTGTTTTTGAAGGTCCAAATCCTTTGAACAACTACGAGGTATCCCCCAACAGCCCTCAACCTGGAAGACTCCACTCCGAATCACCCTTGGAGTGTCCCCAAAGCTTTCCGCTGTGACTCAAAGCTTTACATGGTCCCCCCCCCCCCAAATTGTGATTTTGTCCTTTTGGTTTTGCTTCAAACCCACACACCTGCACCAATGTGGTGTTTTCTCCCCACCCTGTACTACGTTTGGGCAAAGCCAGGTTTGGTGACAAACGCCTCCAAGTGCTTTGCTTCACCCGGAGATTTTATCAAACCTTATGGGGGCTGGGGGGGAGGGAGGGGAGAGGGAGGGAGCCGCCCCCAGCCCCCCGCTGGGAAGCTTAAGGAACCGCAAGGAACCCCTAGGGGTGTTCAGGAACCCCAAGGAACTCCTGGGATTCCCGCATGAAAAACTGTGCTCCGTTTTTGCCGGCGCGCTTGAGCTGGTAGACCATGTACTTCACATCCATGAAGGGGTCGTTGATGGCCTTCACCTCCGCGTCCGGGTTACCCGCGGCGGCCCGGAAGACCAGGCGCCCGATGCGCCCGAAGCCGTTGATGCCCAGACCGATCGGCATGGCCAAAAACGAGGAAAAAACGCGGGGCGGAAAAAGGTGCGATTTGTGGATCTGCCTTTCGAGCCGAAATGGCCGAGTGCCAGGTGTTTCAGCTGAGAAAAAGGAGAAAAAAGCAATCCTCTTCACACAGACCCATGGTTGTGGACAATTGGGTCTACGTTCCGAGGGTAAAGAAACGAGTGAAAATCCAGGTGGCAAAAGGAAAGCAGCGGTAAAGGTGCTCGGAGTCCACTTGATCGCCGAAATGTCGGTGCAAAGCGGAGACTCGAATCCTTCCTTCAACATGAAGCCGAGATCCATGAGCAGACAAATCCTTTGAGCCGAGATGCCCTAACAAAATGGGGACCCTCCAAAAGGGGTGCTCTTGCCGATCCAATGCAATTTCGGCAAGGAATCCCGCTCGTGTAGACATGGGTGGCCCATCCTGCTTCAGGAATCGAACCCCTCCCCCCCAAAAAAAACATGGCCTTGGTTGTCCTTTTGGTTTCGCTTAAAAACTAGCAAAGAAGGGGTGCCCCAAGAAAGCACACCCACATGGTGACTGGGCCTTTTCTTGGGCCAAGTGGGGAGCCCCTTCTCACATGGGCATGTTGTCTTGGGAGGCATCGGACCCACCCAAACTGGTGGCTCTTCCTTGTTCTCCCAGTGTCCCTTTTTTCAAACCAGCCCTGGTCTCCAACTCACAAAAAAAAAATACCCACCTGGACCCTCTGGTGTGAGCAGGGTAGCCGTCTTTCTGAGGCCCTCCAGAACCCCAAACTCCCGGCCGGAGTCCCTGACAAGGGCCTCCACTCGGAGTTCGCGGACTGAGCGCCGCGCCACCTCAGAAACAAATGGCCGCCTTGAGGTGCGTGCCCTATCAAAAATAGGGGGGTTGCTGGCACCAAACATCAGGATAGGGTTGAATAACAGGGATCCGGATGCGTGAAAAACACCTGAACATTGCAACTTGTCAATGGTGGGTTCCAACTTTGTTTTGGTGTTGAAAAAGCAACATGTTTCAAATGGTTGCAAAATGTATCTTTTAAGGAGCCCTGTCAAAGGGCCTCAGAAATACCGTGAGGGCTAGCGAGACCTAGGTATGTCTTGGTTGGTTTCTCTGCTTTGTTGGAGTTGGTGCCCATTTGCCGTTTTTTTGCTGTAACCAAAGAGAAAGAATGCAACTTGGAGGGTTTACGTCCAACATGGTCCAATTTATGAAGGTGGACAAGGGGGCCTTTTCACACGAGTTCTTTCAACACATCCCTGTTCCCGTCCATGATTTTTTTGGAAAGTGTGCCTTCTGGAGTCTTGACGAACATCCGCCAGGACAACAGGTCGATCAACTGATAAAAACAATCGTGAGATGGGAGACAAAGGTCCGCTGAACGAAAAGGCTCCGTCTTGTTTACCAACAACAAAAATCCGATCCTAACTCGGCCAAAGACCCTCAGTCACAGATCACAAAAAGAGGGTTCCAAGTGTAACATGATCTACCGAAACCAATGTAAAGAATTGAACAGGCGGCCGCTATTGGCAAAGATGAGTCGAAGTCTCGAGCCCTTCATCACTTAAAGCTCTTCTTCTTTCCGGCGATCAAAGAGTCCGAGCTCTGTGCCCGACTGCGGATGCACCGCAGATCATGGGGAAGGGTCAGTTGATCGACCCCGCCAAAAAGGGAAACCAAAAAGGGGGGCCCAAAAGCAAAAAACGACCAGGACGGATCTGGACCACTGAAGAAAATCGACCTCTGCTGGTGCCATCAACTTCTCGAAACGGGTGCCTTCCCGAATGGGACTGAAGCCACCGGAGAGTCCGCTCAGCACTCCAACGAGAGGGTGAAGATCGGCTCCCCAGAAACCGGACCGGGCTCCCCAGAAACCCACCACCCTCAACCCCAAGGGTTTCGTCACCCAAAAACACCTTCCCTGGCGGTGGTTTGAGGGTAGTGGAACCCATCTTAATAAAAATGCCCCGCAAGACTGCTGGGTCAGGGAGGGGATGAGTTGGACTGACCATCCAACTGCTGGTTTGCAGGGGATCCCCAAATCAATTCACAGAGCCCCTGTTGAATTCCTAACGAGCAAGAAGAGAAGTTGAGAAACTGGGAAGTGAGCCATGCCATTGCCCTGACAGAATGACACTGCCTGCCTGCCGCCGATCGCAAAACGGGACACCCCGAAAGACCTACAGCCCTCAAGTGGGGCTGTCAAAATCGCTGACTCTCGGGCCCAAATAAGCCTCGATCTTGTCCAGACACCTTGGATCTTCCGTGGCACAAATCCAAACTTTATGCTTGCCACTGGCCAAGAAAAAAGTCCATGAGCTCAGGAAGTGCGTTTCAAACTTGAAAAGCAACCAGCCAAAACCAAACGCCGAAACCCGCATTCCCGCGGAGAACCCCCCACGGTGCCGAGCCGCAATCGTGGGCGACCGGCAACGCCGCCGCCGCCGCCGCCGCGCCTGGGGAGACTTCGGCTGGAAACCACGGACCGTCACATGGCCATGGGTCAAAAACCCAAAGTCCAAAATTCCGTTAGCGAACATCCGATTCTATCCAAGCACTGAAATAGGCTCTAAAATGGGTGGTGCACCGAAAACCCCAAAATGGGGTCCCATTGAATTTGACCCACAGCCAAATATCTTCTAACACCCTCCTTCTTTGCCAATGGCCAAGATGTAAGATGTTAAAAACGTTGACCCAAGCAGAAAGCCCCCCCCCCCTCACCTACGCTTATTCAGGGATGAGGATCGATCTCTGCCATGCTTCTCGTGCTTCTCTTCCGGAGGCAGAGGCCCAGAGGCCCACACCCCGCCTTGGGGGGGGGGTCCTTATTGGATCCGTGGGGTTCAAACCACCATTGAAACAACGGGGGTTAATATACCCACCTGGACCCTCAAACTACCCATAAAAATGGGCTATCACTCATAATTTTGGGGGTCAAACCCATTTTTAAGGGAATTCTGCGGGTTCAGGCACCATCATTTGCCGAAGGATTTTCCTCATCCAAGTTGGGTCCCCTGCCATTATTTCAATGGCGGCAAGGAACCCCTGCAAACATTCCGCCAAATCAGTTCTCGGAGTTGCACACCGCTTTTTGTCCTTTGCAAGCGGCCGTTTTTTTTTCCTCTCATTCGAACACCCGTCTTTCGAATGAGCGGGTCGTTGGCCGAGTTTCGGAGGAACCCAAGCCTCGGAGTCGAAGGCACTTGGCCCCTTCCATCTTTTGCCTCTTTTGAAAGGAGACACCCTCGCCCACAAGAAAGCCAAAAAGACATAAAACTCCTATGTTGAACATGTTGTAACAGGTTGTTTGTCCCAACGGGCAAAAAGGGGGCGTGTTCCTTTTGCTGGTCAAGGGCTTCATGATTCGATTCACCCCAAGTGATAGCTTACAGGTAAAGCCCCGCAGCCCTTGACTGTGATGAGCAGCGCCCATCGACTGTTGGTTCCACCATGGTTCTCGAGCATTATGTAGGCCTTGCTACCCATGTTCAGCTAGGTTCCCAACCGCATCACCTGCACCCCAGGAGGACAACCACGAAAAAAAAAACGAAAAAAAAACTGCAAGTTTAGCTTGCATGTGGGACTCCGACTTTTTTTAGGGCACCTCGGACCCCCCAGAATTGCTTCGGTGTTCCTTTTGGTCTCCCTTTGAACCCCTCCCCCCCCAAACGGCCCAGCTTCACCCAAACCCCCAGTTGAGCCGCCGGGCCCGGCGCCCTTTCGAGCCTACCGACCGGGGAAGCTTCTGAGGGAGAGTACATGTGGATGAACATACCTATGCCTGTGTACCTCCATCTATCCGTCCATAAATATTTATATATATATATATACATATGTACACGTATGCTTACATGTACCGGTATATAAACGTTCATCATGTCGACATGCCTAGATTCCGAGGCCCAGTGGGCCCAGCGTCGGACCGAGGTTTTTCTCGGGGACTGCGTTGCCTGCTTTTGTCACCATAGAGGCAACCAGCAGGTTGAGGCTTGGAAAGACGAACGGATCCCCCAAGTGCTTTGCGAAGGGTTGATCCGGATGACCGCCTTAACCAGCACAGCGTACAAAAAACTCCGTTCTGCCAAGGGAATCCAAAGCCCTTGGAGCAGTCCCCTGCCCAAACTAACATGAAAATAAAGAAAGGGTCGCCCAAAACATGCTTGGCCGTTTCCAGTAGACTCAGTAGACCGAAGCTCAAAGGACATGCCAGACACCATCAAAACCTCTCAGCCCGGTCTCTTTTTTCCTGACCCGCCTGCGCCAGCACCATCTCAATGTGGGCAACTTGTTGGCCGGAAAGGGGAAACCGGAAAGCCAAGTGGATGCCGTTGAAACCCTGCGTTCCAAAAGGCTCGCTCGCCCTTTGGAGCTGAAACTCCCGAAATCGAGCCGCTTCGCTGCTATGGCTGTCGCGGCCCGGTTGCACCTGTTACGCTGCGCGCTGAGAATCAAAGCTCTGGGTCGAGCGCTATGCAGTTGGAGGATGTTCTGCCGTTTTCCGCGGCTCGATGGGGGTAGAAAGCGCTTCAAAACCGGCGTCTAACCCTGGGCAACCGCCCAGCTCAAGACTTCCCTTTTGGCAAATTGACCCAAGCTTGTTGTTTGGATGGTGCAGGGATGCGTTCCAGCAAACAAATGAGCGTTCTGAAGCAGCATTTGGAAGGTCGCGAGGACATATCGGCTAGGGTTCCGAAATAGATTAAATATCATCGCGACAGCTTCGCGAAAGGGCCGCCTCCGCCGCCAGGGCGCCAGAGGCCGCATCCGCCACGGCGGGGCTCCGGAAAACGGAGCCGCGTGCAAGCGGAGCTTCGCCCAGAGATTGCTCACATCCCAAGGCTCATGACCCCTCCAAGGCACTTGAGCACACCCCATTTTCAGGGCCCAAAAAATGTCCGCGAAAGCGCCTCGCAAGCGAGCGTCTCATCAAAACCTTTCGCAAAGGAAACTCGCCGTCGTTGGGTTACACCGCTCAGACGACAGTCGACGCCTTATGAAGCTTCAATCTAATCGGCGCTGATCATATCTTGGCCGGCCAATCGACTTTATGCTTCACCTGGCCGAAGCGTCGAACATTTTCCTAGCCACGGCATTTGTCACTTAAAAGGTTCAGACAGTTTTGCAGGCTTTTAGGCTGTCAGGCAGCAGTCAGCTGCAGGGTAGCATCTCGGCCAAAGCTGTCTCAGGGATGCAGAAGCTTGCATCGGGACATATCGGGACTTTCCATAACCGGGCCGCGACTTCAGCCGATGCGAGCCAAAACGCAAGAGCCAAAACTGAACTGACGGCAAAGGGCTGGGCTCGGCCCTCAACTTCCGCGCTGCGGCAGCCTTAAAAAAGGCAAATAACGTGTCACAAGAACTCCGACTCCACACTTGGATTGAGGCAGGAGTTGAGGCTGAGTCAAAGAAATGGCAAGAACCTATGCAAGAGACGACGTTTGATCTCAGAACTTCCAGTCATGTTGACCCCATCTGAATCCACCCGTGTCCAGAAAAATAGGGGGTGTCCCTGGTGTTAGTGGGGTTGATTCATACGGGGTCAACCAATAAATTCGCTTTGGACCCCACTTCTAGCTCGGAGCTGCAAGCTGCACTGTTGGTGCTCTGATTTTGGTGCCTGCATTCAGTCTTACAAACAGGACTTGGCTCCATGCCAAGGAGCCCAACGCCTTCAAGCCCGACCGATTTCAACGGCCCCACCTTGTTTGCTGGCCAGTGTGCAAAGTGAAACTGGAGAGGCGACTTATCCCGGAGAGGCGACTTATGCCGGAGAGCCCAACTCAACTTTTTGCGAATCCGCCTTCGACATCGACGCGCCAGTTGCGTCTCAGTGGCTATGGGATCAACCCTATCCCTTTAGGGTTGCAAACTGGAAACAGCCAGCGGCAGAACCTCAGTGGAAACACCTCCGGGGTGTCTCCGCCGGAGCCCCCGAGTTTCCCAGTTGAGAGGTCCCTTCCCCGTCAAGCTCCACTCGGAGCTCGACTCTCTGGACAAAAAGGGCGCGAGCGGCTCGCCCTTTCCGACCGGAAAGCTGATTGGCTTCCCTCGGGCTAAGCAGCGCCCTGAAGGCTCTGAGAAGACTTGCAATGATGTGGCTCAGACCTATAGGATAAGACGTGTGCTGGATACACACTCTGCTCTTCGTATCTTCTCTTTTTCTTCTGCTTACGTGCTCCCGGCAATCTTCAGAAGGTTGCATCTTGAATGTCTCAAGAGGCAGCTCAACAAGTTGGTTGCCAGCAGACACTGGCAGCATACGACCGCCAAGCCACTGGGTTTGTGGCAAATGTCAAAATCCCTCCATAACAAACGGGTCTTGAGTTTATATTGCTAGTCAATTACCTCAAATTTCTCGGTCCCAACGACGGGCGCGGACTCGCAAGGTGCAATTGAAGCCGCGCGAAGTCCGGATTTTGCTGGAACTCGGCGCGTGGCTGTATAGTTGGGTGTCGTTTCTTGAAGATACCGCTTAAAGGGACGCGAAAAGGAACACCGCAGCCGTTTTGGGGGGTTTGCCGAAACCGCCCATTTGTCACCGAGAAGTTTCGGCCGACAGGCTGGGATTCCACGCAATTCAGGCGGGTCAGGTCAGGCAACAGTCTTGGCCCTTGCTCCGCGAGTCAGGCGTCAGCCCAGCGTGTCTGGTGTGGCCCGGCAATTTGCACCGCGTGGTTGATCTTAGCATCCTGATAGGCGCCCATTCGGGGGTAGTGATAGCGTGGCGATTGATCAACTCCCGGAGCCCGGATCTCAACTCTACATGATGGCGGTCTTGCCAAGCACAAGGCGACTGGGGGCTGTGAATACCCGGAATGCAACAGCCAGAGCTCTGGGACCCGGGCTCATTGGACATGGCTTGACCAGTCGCGCGGCGCGGGCTAGCGTGTAACCCACCACGCTAGCCCCACAAAAAGCTGAAGCGTGAAGTGCGCCGAAGATTGCTGAACAGTCCAGCTACATGTGGCTCTTCCAAGGCAACATGCCATCTGATACCTACGGAACGCTGCCAGAGCTAGCTGGAGGCAGAGGCTGAGGCTACTCCGCGGGGCTTCCACGCCTCAAGGCTTCAAATGCCTCGCCAGAGCTCACGTGGTGCCTCGTGTGAGAGCTGCTCCAGAAGTCTCAAGCCTTGTAAGCACTCCAACCTCCGCGCTCAAGTGGCATCTGGCTCGGAGGGATGCTGAGTCTTGACAAGTGAATGCTGCTGCCGAGAATGGGGCCACAAGTTCCAAGATGCATCAGCGGATTAGTAGCTGCTTTAAGGCAAAGCCGTCCGATCTAGATTCGCAAGAAACAGATTACACGTTCATCCACTTGCACAGCTTGGTTGGTGGTTGACCTCTTGCAAAAAGTCGCCAATCTTGCTGGTGGTTCATGAGGAACAGTTTTTCCCAAACAGTCGAAAAACGAAGGTCGGAAGCAACCAAGAAAGCTAGGAGTCCAGTCGGAGTCCAGGTGGCGGCAAGCTCGCAGACGCAAGAGCCAGCCATCACTATGAAGCAAAGGGCTGGGACCAGGTGCATCTGCCCGCCGTGCCAGCGACCCACGTCCGCTTAGCAGACCTCAGAGCCTGCACGCAGGCGCCACATCGCACCTAGCCTACGAAGCAGCGGCTCAGCTTCAAGAGCGCAGGCGCCTGACCACACGGGTGGTCAGAGGCTAATCATCGCATTTCAAGCCCCATTGTCCGAAGCCATGCCCAAGCATGTGAAGCCATGCCCAAGCAGGTGCGGAGTGATGCTAAGTTTGGCAAAGCTGAAGCTGGCTCGAAGCAGGGGCTGAGGCCGAGCCAAAGCCAAAAACTTGTTCAAATGCAGGCGCCATTTCGCGCAATAGGGCGGAGGGTTGGGCAGTTGGGCACTTGGGTGCACTTGCATTCATTGCTCCTCAACGCACTGACGCGATTGGATACACATCCTTAGGCACAAAAGCCGCAAGTACAGCGCACTTACTCTCTACTGCAATCGCTCATCTTCCGCAACGCAAGGGCCAAAGCACGCGAGTGGTCGAGACCTGCTCAGTAAGCCTTAAGCCATGCAGCCACCCCAGTCTCCGTAGAAGTGCTCAAGTTACCCCTGCCGGCTCGGAGTTGCTCTGATCGTAGGAAAGTGATGGCTGCCACCCAGCAGAATGCCAGGGCCAGTTCCAAGATGCATCAGCTAGCGCCTACAGGGCACAGGCCTGGGCATGTCTGGTATCTGACATCAGCAGGCCCTGAGTGATCTAGATTCGTGAAACAAGTAGAGGCACTCTGATCTTTCGGAGCGCCGCGGCACGGGCAGGTATCTGTAGCATCTGCCCGTCTGCGAAAGTCCCGAACTGCACCGGCAAAAGGTGCTCAAGCTCATGCTGAGGCCTGCGAAAACTCCGTCTGTGAGCTTCAGCCAGGGAGACAGATTCAGATCTCGCTAGGCAAAACGCCCGGCGCAGCTCCGCGCGCTTCGGCCGCTGCTCATCCGCGAGTGACTGGTGCACTTTGCTCAGATCCTTCGGCACAACACTTCTCTTGCGGCCTACACTTGGGCGCCACATAGGCGGCGTCTGCCCGCTGCAATTGCCCATGCTCCTCGACAAAAGCTCATCACTAACATGGCCAAAAACCCTACGGACGCTGAAACAAACTCAGCCAGCGCCGGAGCGCGCTCGCGCGTTTGTGGCTCGCCCACAACGCACGCACTGACGCGCTTTGATACGCATCCTTAAGCACAGAAGCCCCAAGTACAGCGCACTTACTCTCTACTGCAATCGCTCATCTTCCGTGGCGCAAGGGCCAAAGCAAGCGGGTGGTCGACGGCTGCTCAGTAAGCTTTAAGCCCTGCAAGCACTCCAGACTCCACACAAGTGCTCAAGTTAAACCTGCCGGCTCGGAGTTGCTCTGACCTGCCAAAAATACATAGCTGGCACCCAGCAGAATGCCAGGGCCACAAGTTCCAAAATGCACCAGCTAGCGCCTGCTACAGGGCACAGGGCTGGGCGAATCTGAGTGCATCAGCAGGCTGCCCGATCTGGATTCGAACAACGAAGCTTCAACACACATCTTGGGGCTTTCAGGCGCCCAGGCAAGTGCTCTGCGGCATTGCCCGTCCACGCCGCATCAACCACTCTCTCACGGTGGCGCAGTTCAGATAAGCCCCCCCTTGAATCAGTTCACTGTTAGGGGGCAGACAGAAGAGGCTTGCTGACCACCACAGGGCAGCTGATGTCAGAGATCATCAGAAAGTAGTCGCTATTTGTGACGCGCGGCTTGCGACAACATGAGTTGCGGAGGCGTGAGCCACAATGGCCGCCATTTTGGCCAATGATCTCGTCTTATTCCCCAAATCATTTGCTTTGGCTGGTTCGACCTCTTCGATTGAGTCTGTGATGTCGCTGGCAACGCAGCTTCATGGAGCGCAAGTTTTTAACTGCACCGGAAACCAAAAGCATACAAGTTCGTGCCGAGCCCCGCAAAGACTTCGACTGAACGAACAGTCAGGTAGCCCCTGCTTTGCTGAATGCAGAGGCGCCAGCGCTCCCAACTAGGCAAGAGCCCTGCACGTCTGCCGGCTCACTCGCGAGTGAGTGGTGCGCTTTGGAATACATCATTGGGCACAACACTTCCACATCTTTGAACAACGGCCTGCACTTGGGCGACTTTGAACAAACGTCCCGTTGCAGTTGCCCAAGAGAGCGTGGCTGTGGTCAAAAATCCTAGGTCTGCTCAAACAAATGCAGGTTACGGCGCTCAGCCACACTTTCTGCAGAACAGCTGGCACCAAGCATGTCATTGCTGAAATCCGCCATTTTTGTTGGGAGTTCCGTTGGTACAGTACTGGGGCAACCTAACTCCGCAAAAGGTGCTGACATGCAGTGTCAGGCACGGGCCGCCCGTGCCTGAGCGCGCCAACCCGAGAGCAAGGCTTTCGTGAAGCGCAGCTTCTGCGAAAATCAACCCCGTTCTGGCGATGAGCCTCTGCCCGTGAGCCGGCGCTTTTGCAGGTCTAGTTCAAAAAGTAGTCTTAGTCCTGTGGAGATTTGGAGGAAACTGCTTGAAAAGCTGCGGGCTTTTGCGCGGATCTGGGGCAGCTTTGTCCGGTCGGCGCCTTGACTCAACGCTGCGGTCATTTCGAACGCTGCTCATTTGGTGGCGCATCCGCAGTCCTTGCTGAGGGACTGACCTGCGTGCGCCGAAGCACATCCACTCGCTAAAACCAGCTATTGCCCCATGCAGGTGGCTAGACAAGAATACCCCAGGCTCCCGCGAGTTGAGCTTCTGAATTAAGCGTGTTGCTCTGGCAAGTTTATCGATCAAGCGGCAAGGTCTGGCGCTGCAAGGCATTGGCAACAATCTCCGCCACCAAAAGAAGCGAGGTTAATCTGCAGGGAACAGCCAGATCGGTTCATGCTTGCCCATTAAAGCCTTCGCAACTCTAAAGGAGACCTTGTTGATCGCGTCCATTTTCGGCGCATCCATGTTCGAGAATATGTGGCATTTCATTTGAGCCAATGCTGCAAGATGCGCTGAGTCCACATGTCGCAAGCTCAAGACCGCCGTGGTTTGCCGGCCAACGCAGGCGTTGCCTCCCATCGATGGTTCTGCCAAGATGGTAAAGGCGTGTAGCCATGGTCAAAACTTCTTGGGGTAATCCCCTGGCAATAGTTCTGCAACGAGCAAAAATGGCCATCCCTCAAGCCCCCTATGCCCTGTGAGTCCAAATAAAATTCCAGGGAACCAAAGGAACAGTTTAAGAACCAATTTTTGAACGTGTATGTGACAAATGCTCAACTCTTTGCAAAAACTGATCACCAAAGCGATGTGTTCAATGAGGATTAGATTCACTCGACCAAAGCCACGCTCTCGTGCCTGCCCGCGGCCCTTTCCTGCGACGTCCGACCAGCTTGGCATCGGGCGGGGAACCAACATGCGGGCGTTGGGAAGCTTGAGATGAGTCATAGTACTTGTTGGACTAGGTCCTCCAGTTTATGAATAGGGGGGTGTTCCCCTCCAAAAGTGGTGATCCACTAAATTCAGGGACCCTTTTTTGGTAGACTGGGGTTGACTAATATGGACTCAACAGTACCCACTTTGGTCCTCCAGTAGAGAGGTTAGAATAAGGGTACCCGATTTTTTTTCTGTCGTCTATTTCAGTAGGGGAACCCTCTCCCAAAAAAGGGGAGAGAAGGGCACTACTGGGGGACCTAGTGGAGGTTCTCGGCTTTTGGGACACACCACAAAAAGTCCCACTAAACTGCAATTGGGCGGGGGCATTAGAATCAAAACCGATCGGTATATCCAGAACCATGCTTCAACTACAAAGGCGGCAGCCATTTCCGGCTGGGGCCATCCCTTGATTGTGCCTCAAATGAAACCAGAGATCTCCTAGGAAACAAGGAATTCATGGAAACGTTTCTATGGGGTGCCTAGTGCTGGGTTTGGGGAACGAGCCGGCACCGGACTCCCATGCCCTGCCACAAAGGAGTTTGGAGTTTCTTCATTCCCTCCTGCCAAACCAGCAAGGTCGATCTGAATCAACCAGTGACCGAGCAGCCCCTCCAGTTGTTTCCAGTGCTCTCTGTACGCTTCTGTGTGTGTCTCCAGATTCAAGTCTGCGATTCCGGTGTTCTTCCAGTTGTTCCAAGTGTGACCTTCCATATGTGTCTCAGCCGCTTCAAGTGTTTCCAGGTACCTTTCTCTGTTCCCTGCATCTGTCCCCTCCTGTTGTTTTGTTCCCACTATGTTTTTTCCATGTTCCGGCTGCCAAATGGGAAACTCTCTTCCTAAGTGGTGGGCAAAAAATCGAGACTGTCGTGTACCACTAGATTGATCTTCCCCACCCAAAAAAAGACACAAAAAAACATGTGAAGTCCTGGAGAAGTAAGCATGGCATCACAGGCGCCATTCCCTCAGTCAAGACCCGGTATTCAAATAGTCATGGTTCAGGAATTGAAAAGGACATCGGCACCCATTTATGGCAAGGGGACTGTCCCCTACCCTCCAATTCGCCTCACACAACACTTCAAGGCAACCAAAACGCAGAGCACAGCCAGCCAAAAGCGGACTGGCCGAGGCGGGCAGTCCGCGGAGCGGTTCACAAAATATGTTTGTTTTGAGGACGTGACTCAAATGGCTGTGGGTCAAAACCCTGTACCCCTGGTGAACATCAAAATAGGTGGTACATGGGTGTTCATCCGCCCCAAAATGGAGGCATACGTTATGACCCATGGTCATATAGGTCAAGTACTTGGATCCTCCGGTGATCCAGGGCCCCGACAGGGCCGTAAAGATGATCACCAGAACCCCAAGCAAAAGAGCGGTCGGTTTTTGAAAAGAGCCATGGTTGAAAAGAATGGAAAAGGAATCAATCCATAGATACCTCCTCCCTTCCTGAGTCGACTGGCCAAAACAAATCCGCCTTCGCATGCCTCAAAATGGGCCCTGAGGCCCCAAGCCTTATGGAGGCCCTGAACCCTATGGTGGCGAGTCCCGCGACTCTGGGTAGTTTGACACCCGGAAGAAATCCCTAGAATACCTCCAACCAAGTAAACAACCAACCTAGAAATGAAACCCCTAGAAATCTGTTTTGTCATGAGGCATGCCCGCCTTTGGCTGGCCGCTGCTCGCGCTCCGCCCGCGCGGCCTGCGCCTGGCCTCGCAACTTGCTGACATCGAGCAGCTGGAGGATCAACCCGTTCATGCGGGGGATTGATCAATACTCGGTTGCGAAATCCTGCCAAAAGTGTGTTTTTTTTTTTAGTGGTTTACTGTAATTTGGAAAACCCCCAAACGTTGGCAAAAAGTGAAAGTCCTAACATCCCTGGGCAAAATGCACCAAAGAATCTTCCGTAAAGCGGCCCCCCCGTTTTGACCATCGGTCACTTTTCGCAAGTGGAAAATATGCAAAATCTTTTGAGTGGTGTTCACCGATGGTCATCCCATGTAAAGGACCTTTTGATCAGCCCCCATCCAGTTTCCTCCATCCGAACTGGTGCGAAACGGACATTGTCCATCTGTATCATGGTTGACGTTTGAAAACTTGGGCTCCGCTAAGGGGCCAGCGTCTCGTGGCTTAAACGAATGCTGCCCAACCTGGATATTCAGTATGCTCCCAACTAGCTGTAGAAACTGGTGAGCAAACAGACTGTTTGCAGTTGAATTTCGTCATGGCAATGTAGGGCTCAATGTTCTCCGCCTGAGTAGCTGATCGATACTCATGTGGATCGATATACAAATCAACGGGAAATGAAGCTAACAGAACGTCAAGAAGCATGGTCCAAGCTGGGCAGATGGGAAACCTTTTGAGTTGAAACCATTGCGACGCACATCGGCACAAACGCACACCCTTCCGTGAACCAAAACAGCCAACTCGTGCCCAAAATTCAGTATTGGCAGAGAGGTTCAGCGGAGTTCACGCGGGGTCGTAGTGTGGGTGAGCGAGCCCCGAGGGTGTGTTTGTCTGACTGAGGTGAGCCCATTTTGTTTCAACCTTGTTTCCCCTTTGACCTGATTCCATCCACCCGGAATATTCGGGGGGGGGGGTCGATGTACCTGACTTGGTCGCAACAACCAGATTTCCACATCCCCA